TGAAATGTATCATTTATTCTTTCTAGCATTTGGAAGGCCATAGCGCAGTCTTTAATAATGTTCAAATATTTGTCTGGCAAACAATGTACGATAATATTTTTGGCTTTTGCATCTTTAGTCGAAAAATCAGAACTTTTTGTTTCTGTATCATTTATTATTTCATTTAGACCTTTTTCTTATAATATGCAACGTACTCTAAAAAGCCAATTGTTGTAATTTTCAGCATGTAGCTGCGGAAAATTTGTCGTACTAGCAGCCATTTTCTTTTTTTTTCACAAATTCTGTTCTACTTTTTCGATAAATAATATTTATTTATTTTCTTTATCTCATTTCATTCTTTTCTGCACTTTTGATGGGTGATTTGGCCCATAACCTATTAATAATATAGAGCTTTGTGCGCATATTATTTATTTAAGGAAAATTATCACAACGTTACATGACATTAGTTTTTCTTCATACATCACGAATTCTTAAGTGACAATGTCAAGTGACCATAACTAACAAATGCAATTTTTTTTTATTCTAACCTATCTATTTCATATACCTACCACCTCGATCTACCCTCTACTGAAAATGCAATGCCGCGGTGGGAAGTGTGAGTGCCTGTCTTTCTTACAGAGGGCGGGGGCTGTCCCCCTCCACGCCTCTGATCTTTGAAAAACGCTCTAGGATTTGTATAAGCTTGTGTTACATTAGCTGGTACAATATCTCATAAGTTTGGTCTCAACAATTTTATACTTGTACAACGCGTTCGCTCTAAGTTTGCCGGTCTGTGGAATGCGCGTACCCTCCCCCACGTGACAACAAAACTTATAATGTGTCATAGTTTTACCCAAATATCTAACGTACACAATTTTTATTGTTACAATTAAATAAAAAATTTCGAACGTCATACACTCATACCTATCGCCAGCGGCAAACTTAAAACGAGCGGGTAGTATACTTGTAAGCGCTCAGTCTCTTTGATAAAAGCCGCCTCTGAATTAGACGCTATAGTTGTCAACTAGCGACTTTCGTCTCTAACTTCAAAGGATAAAGTCGATATTGTTTACAACGCTATTTTTAAATTTCTGTTTTTATTTTTGCTTTTTGTTTATCAAAGGTGCCGACTCGAGTATTTTCGAGAATATTTGAGATCGAGTCTAGGACTAAGTATAAAAGCGGCGATCGCGCGTTGGCGTCGTCAGTTGATGATTAGCGTTCGGAGCGATAAGTTACTACCTACTTACAAGCTCGCTAGCGAGAAACTGGTGTTCATTGTTTTACTGCCTGCTGTATTCTGTTGTCTCAGTTTTATACATTTCTTCCCTGTAGGTTCTAAATTTAGTCTCTTATACGCAGTAACGATTGTGCATTATTTAAACCCCACTATCCTGACTTGTAACATTATAAATAAAGAAGAATGGAACGTTGGCTTAAAGGTGTTAAACGTGTTCCAACAACATCTTCTAATGACGCTGAATGTTCAAAAGCAATGCGCGCGGAGAATTTAGCAATCACCGATCCAGAAGATGATGCCACGAGTGCCACGACGTCAAGCTCGACGGTTTCAAAGACGAAAAAAAGGAAGTATGATGAATCTTATATCAGTTTCGGATTTGTTGATTCCAACGGCTCACCTCTCTGCATGCTCTGTAGTAAACTGCTTCCTAATAGTTCCATGGCACCTGCCAAATTGCGTCGACATTTAGAAACCGTACACCCCGAGACTAAAGACAAGAATAAAGAATTTTTTGTTCGCAAAAAAGATCAGTTATTAGAAAGTCAAAAAAATATGATGCATGTAACACAAACTACCAACGAAAAGGCCACGGAGGCATCATACTTAGTTAGCTATCGCATTGCACAAGCAGGTGAAGCGCACACTATCGCTGAGAAATTAATAAAACCATGTGTATTAGACATAACAAAATGTATGCTTGATGAAAAATCTGCAAAGCATCTTTCTACTGTTCCGCTATCAAACGATACTGTTTCACGACGAATCCATGATCTGGCAAGCTACGTCAAACAAGAACTAGTTACACGTCTACAAAATACACGATTCGCTTTGCAAATGGACGAGTCGACTGATGTCGCTGGTTTGGCTATCCTGCTGGTTATTGTGAGATATCCATATAAAAGTTCTTTTGAAGAAGACATGCTTATGTGTTCATCGCTGCTTACAAACACTACCGGGGAAGAAATTTTTAATAAAATAAATATATTTTTTGAAGAACATAATCTCAGTTGGAACAATTGCATTGACATTTGTACAGATGGGGCCAAGGCGATGACAGGTAAAACAGCAGGAGCAGTGTCACGAATGAAAAATAAAGCGCCTAATTGTAGTTCCAGTCATTGTATTCTGCATAGACAAGCACTTGCGATGAAGCAAATGCCGTCTAATCTAAAATTAGTTATGGATGAAGCGGTAAAAATAATTAATTTTATCAAATCACGACCACTACAATCCCGATTGTTCTCATTATTGTGTGAAGATTATGGCAGCAAACATAAAACACTGCTGCTCCATACAGAAGTGCGATGGCTGTCTCGGGGAAAAACTTTAACAAGGCTATTTGAACTTAGAGCCGAGTTACAAATGTTTCTTTCAGCAGATACTTCTTTTAATTTGAAGGACCGTTTGTATGATAAAACTTGGTTGTTCCGATTGTCTTTTATGGCGGATATCTTTCAAAAACTTAACGAATTAAATTTATCATTGCAAGGTAAACAGACAACAGTGTTTCAGGCCTATAATAAAATAACTACTTTTAAAAGAAAATTAGATTTTTGGATCATTTGCATTGGTAAGAAAGAAATAGAAAGTTTTACGTTACTCACTGAGTTTGTTAGCGAAAACGACTCAGAAATGTTTGAAGATAATGTGTTTGAAGAATTGGTCCAATATCTCAGTTCGATGCGCGCATCTTTTGAAAAGTATTTTCCCGAAGAACACAATACAAAAATTAAAGTGAACTCCTGGATTCATAATCCTTTTTTACCCAACTTGGAAAAGCCTGAAAACATGTCAAATGAGATATATGAATCTCTTTTAGAAATGTCATCAGACACAAGTATGGAGTCATTGTTCAAAACGACGCCTCTTAATGATTTTTGGTGCAGAATCCAAGATGAATATGCAATGCTTGGCCAAATGGCTCTGGATATTCTTCTCCCGTTCCCAAGGTAGGGCAGACCAAGACCACGGAGTTTCGAGGTTGACAAAGTCGGTTCTGTATTCAACCTTTTAATAATAAAGAAAGTAGGTAAATGAAAAGAAAATTACTATTTATTAACTAGGCACTATTATCATCATACACAATTGAAAGCCTTTAAAAGTACACAATTAAAACATTTTTGTGTATAATTTATATTTTCGATATAATAATCTCAATTTTAGTCTCATAGACTACAAAAAAAATATTAAAAAAAACAATGTAAATTTTAAAATTGGTGCTAATTTGAAAAGTAAAAAATTAAATTTTTTTCTAAAAAACTACCAGTGTATGAGTATGGACATTTTGTTAAATAATATGGTTAACAGAAACCTTTTAAAAAAAACGCGAAGTCTGAATGAACAAAACTGTGAGGTTTTACTCATGGGCCCTGGAAGTACCATTCATTAAAACCACTATACATTATTGTATTGGCTTAGCAGAATTAACACCCAGTTCCAATTCTAAATACCATAACTAAATTAGATCACTTTAGTGGGAAATCCCATTTACATTATTAGAATAAACGGAAGCATAGTCCAAACATGTCTCTTTTAAAAATTGTACAGCTGTTAGCCGAAAGGTGATATCAATCTTAACGAAATGCTCTTTGATGTACAAAGCACTTTCTTTGTTTATTGATATTGGTCAACGGTAAGCACTGAGACTCTGTAACAAAGAATGGCTTAAGAGTTATAAATAATAATTTTTTAAATTATGTGTGGTCTCCTAGCAGATAATCACAACAAAAAACCTTCATTATATTCAGTGATGATATTATCCATTATGGTAATAAAGGTATTTATGTCGGTTTCTTGTTTTAATATCCAGATGATTTTCGGGACAAATTGAAAAATTACGAGCAAAGTTGATAGATAGTGTCAAATCGATTTGCAGTTTATGCTAACAACCATTAACGACTGACTGAATTGCTTAACTTGACATGGACTTGACTGACCGAGGGATTGAGCTAGACGGAATGGACTGATGAGTACTTTTTTAAGTGGGCTTTGAACTAAGGGGTCCAATCGGGCTCACTGAATGAACACAGTTAAGTGAGCCCGATTCCTGCATGATTCTCTATGCCTAATAAAATAAATTTTGACAACAGTCTAGATCCTTGTCATGTTCTATACCGAATGAGAAAGAGATACTGTTGCTTGACTGTTGATCGCGACTTTTTATAGATTAAAAGTTAATGATGTTATTAAGATTATTAATATTAAGTTAACGTTATTTTATTATACGCATATAAAAAAATTAAAGAACCCCCATTTCCCCCAAACCAAAATTTCTTCCCTACTATAATCCCCCCAAAAATATTTTCCACACAAATATCCCCCCATCGCTTTAAAAAAACCCCAAATTTGTGGGGAATCCCCCCAGGCTAGCAATGACAACGTTAATATTCAAGTTATCATTTCTGCCGGCACTCCCGGAGTACAAACCGTAGTTTTTTTTTTAAAAAAGCATAACCATGCAGTATTGTATGTTGAGATTCAACTTTGTGACCCTTTGAAGTTTGAAAGAAATCAACTCTGAAGAATTGAACATTCTCTAAAAAGAGAGAAGGTTTTGGTGCATCCTATACCTATACGAACTATTGGCTGCACAATCTCTTCGGCTCACTCACACTTTACTGTCTTGTTTTAATTTACAGTGGTTCAAGGAATACTCGGTCCATTATCTGTGTCTATACAAAAAACAACGAATACATCTTTTTTTCTCCAGTCCAGTTTATTAAAGGTTTATAAATTACAATTTTATTATCATACCAAGTAAATACTTTAAATCTCATTTTTAAACATTCCTTATTCCTTTTCTGTCGATATAAACCATGGTCTCTTTCGGTTGTAACAAAACGAAATATACCATAAAACACATATAACTTAACAACAGGCTTATGAATATAACTTTAATCAAATAGTGTTTCCACCAGTCGGTCATGTCATTTCCTAAGCCTGCCCACAAGCCCGTAAACAATATAGCCTCGACGGTGCAGGTTATCACCCAAAACACGTGCCATACTCTCACGTGACGGAAACGAACCTTAAACTCCATCAAACAGAACAGATAAATGAAAGCAAGAAATATATAAAAACCTCGCCTCACCGTACTCGCTTGGGGCACTATCAGAAACAACAACATCACCTGGTAATGCGAAAACAATAGTATCACAGCGGCTACAATGGAACAGTTTATGATAGCAGCAATAGAGAGCAAACGCGATACAAAGAACGCGTACCATCCTAAGTATTGAACTAAAGCAGCAGTCGCATCTTGTGGTTCCAGACCACGTTTTAGCGTACTCGGTACGTGCACCGGGATGTCTGGTTCATCCTGAATAACCTCGTCGCAGTATTTGCTTCGGTGGGGAGCGGACAGCCAGCTAGGTATAGATTCGGCGTTTTCAACAATCTTCTCCGCCCAAACGGCCAAAGACCCTGGTCTAGGAGCAGGTAAGACGGGCGGCGGAGTTATCTCAACCTGTTCTATAACATAGGTCGAGGTACCTCTTCGAGGAGCGACTCTTTCGATAATAGACAGCGGCCTGACGTATTCGTCATCACTACCAGGTGTCGATGATGGCTGATGCATATCACGGTGAGACACTGGAGGTAAATAGTCAGAACCCGAGTCGGAATCCGTGTAAATATCATCGTAATTCACTTCGTGCAGAGTACTTCTCGGGGAAAACTTTATGAAGTCACTAATCGCTCTGTTTTGCGTATCAGCTAATTCCAAATTCGTTGATTCCTGATATTCAACAGGTTTGATGGTATCATAAATAGCTTCTACGGGCTCGCTTTTGTTCTTCATGTCTGTGTTTATAGATACATTTAAAAACTCCAACTGAAGGTAAGTTTCTCTCCACGGATATCTTTTGCCATTCAACTTCTCTCTTTCATGTCTCCTGTAAAGTGTGGCAGTACTGGACATTCGCATGCATGATACCACAATGCTGACTCCTTGCATTATAGCTAAAATAAAAAAAAACCTTATAAGTACCTTTTTTTGGGCAATTATATGAGATACAACAATTGAACGTTCGTTAGAAGAAATAACAATGCAGTGTATTTCATTTTATTTATTTCATCAAAGTGCTAGATTTTAATAACTAAATACAAAATTATACAAAAAAAACGAATTTGCCTAGGTAACAGGCTGGAATCAAGGAGGTAGAGCATAGCTAGGGTTGCCACCCGTACTTTATTATAAAGTATTGTACGTTATTTTAGGTAATTCTACTCTATACTTTATGCCAACAGTAAAGTACGCGAAAATACTTAATTTAATGTGATTTGATTAATTGGGGATTAATTTTACATAAAATATACAAAAAGAGGTTGATAGGAAGAATTTTTGAGTAAAACGGACAGACAGTATGAATATGTCGCCCTTAGTCTCTAATTAGTCTGTGGCTAATTCCTGCAACATTTTCGTGGCTGTATGGCTTTGTTATATGACCCTTTCTATTGCGGAAAAGAACTACAGATTTTTAGTAGCCACAAATTATTTATTAAAAGTTGCTAGTAGCAACGTAAAATATATTTTTAGCTTACTTATAAAGAGGAATAAGAAGTACTTTATTTTGGACACTGTACTTTTTTTCTACCTTTAATATCCAATGTACTTTATTTAGACAAAAAAAAGGTGGCAACCCTAAGCATAGCGGACTGTTAGCTCTAATTGGAGCGCCCGTTTAGAAAAGTAACCTCCACCTCACAGAATATCACAGTATAACAACACTCCCTTTTGGTGGTTTAGTGTTTTTGTCGGTGAGTAAGGTGCCACTGATATTTTTGGAATCGCAAGCGTCTTTAGGCTATGGTGGCCGCTTACCGTCAGGCTGATCATACGCTTGTTTGCCATACTTTTAACATAAACAAAAAATGGAATCGAACCACCGTCCTTCTTGTTTAGTAAAGTAGGTATATTATAAATTCTTTATTTATACCTTTGTCATAGTCGGGTTTAGTGGAATGAGACATCAGGTCTAGGATGTTGAGGATGGAATGTGGTGCAGCGTGCATGAAGGCTTGCAGAAACAAATACAGTTCCATGGAACTCGGGACTTTTGCTCTTCCTAAAGCCTCTTTGGTTCTAGACTCGTCCTCAGCCCATGACGCACACACTGCTTCTATCCACCAGAAAATGAGATAACAATATCTGAAAATATTATTTGTTATTAGAAACCTACTAATATTGTATTAGTCCTTAAATGTGAATGTTTGTAATTTTGTTTGTTTGTGTTTTTGTTACTCAAACACGCAAAAATTGCTAAAAGGATTTGGATGAAGTTTGGCACTTATAGTTTATGAGCTGGAATAAGACGTAGGATAGGTACCTTTTTCCCGGATCCTGTGGGACCATAAAATTTCGCTCTAATTTTCGTATGGGGAAGCTTAGGTATGGCCGTATTCAGAAATGACGACCGTTTCATATAAGGTTTGTAGGCGTTGAGCTAATAAAATAATTATCAATAAGTGACTGTTAAAGCTGTAAAATATTTGGCGACCTAATGCGAGACAGTTAATTATTTAAACCGCAAGACACCTCTAGTGTTTAATACAAGTCAGAAAACAAAAACTATGCCTAAACCGAAGCAAAGCGAGAGCTGATTACTGTTTTCATAAAATAAAGTTACCTTCCAATAGCAGCAACTGGGAAAAAGATACAGCTAGCGAATTGTCTTATAATCCATTTTATGTCCTTTTTCTTCAAGTTGACCGTGTAAGCAGTTAGCTCGGTTTGTAGACCAGGTGGAGGAGACGCCAATGTGAAAACCAGCGATATCACAGCGGGAAATAATATAAATATAGTGCAAAGGGCAGCTATTCTGTATAAAACAAAAACCTTAGTAAATAATTATACATTACCTATGCTTATCCTACTAATGTTAAAAATGTTAAAGTTTGTGTATTTATATGTTTGTTACCCATTTACGGTAAAACGACTGAACGCATTTGGATGAAATTTTACACACAGACAGCTTATAACCTGGAAAGGGATAATTTTTATCCTGCTAAATAGTTAGGTTGCTGAGGGATTTTCAAAAAAACTAAAGTTAACGCGAAAGAAATTGCGTTCGGCCGCTAGATAATATTATAAATGGGTAACAAACCCAATTACGTACAAACTACTGAACGGATTTTGATGTTGATACGCATATATTTTATGACCTGGATTGAGACATAGAGTACTTTTTACCACGGAAAAGTGTTAGGTTCCTGAGGGAATTTGAAAAAACTAAAGTTAACGCGGACGATGTCGCAGGCGGCGGCTTGCACTTAATAATACATTAATCGATGGAACTGTAGTTAGTGCGTTCGACCTGGGGGCCATTCGCCTAACGGAAATGCTTTGGAAAACGCAATCGCTTACGATTTCATTTTGTGATTTATAGCCACCTGAGGTTTTAAAATGGCTCGCGCTCTTTTTTTTCTTTTGCATTGGTAATAACAATATTAAAGAAAATGAGCGTGTGGTATTTGAAAACCTTCGGCGGTCAGAAATAACAAAATTAAATCGTAAGTGATAGCGTTTTCCATAGCAATCCCGTTAGGCGAATGGCCCCTGGCATCGTGTAAGCTAAGCAACTTTTGCAATGCCGGTCATATGGTGAGTATTGATGAGCTACCAAATTTTTACTATCTCCAGCTCTTTCGTGCGTCGGAAGCAGTCTGCAGTTGTTCTCACCCACCAATTCATACAGCGCCCGCGTGGTGGGCTCAAGATGAAATTATTCTTTAATTAAGAGACTGTTTTATCTACCCCTTATAGTAAGTCTAAAGGATGCACTAAAATGAGCTTACCTGTTGCTAAGAGACAAGCTACTGGATAAGTGACTAATCATCTCACTGTTATTAATCCATCCTCTCCACTTTCTCTATTTCCCCACCCATACGACCTCCCTGACTCCCTGGCTGCTTCTCGACGCGGCATAATGAGCTGTCGCTGTTAAGACGTTTCACTTGTCGTTCATTGCCGATGAAAGCTTTAATCGCGAAGGCACATTCATTGAACCGCCTAATTAATAACAGTTTGCTATGTAAGAATAAAAAATCCTCACAGGCAAAACACAGTTGCGATGCCGAAAGGGACATTATGACATAAAAGCACAAAAGTTATACTTATTATCATTCATGTTAATAAAGAATATTTGCTATATTATTGCATCAAAGGGTGAAAACAAAAACCGCCGCTGTCCGACATTATTAAATCAATTTAATAAAATGGTTATATTTGTAGTTTTTAGGCATTTAACTGCTAGATGTTTAAATATTAAGATAATTTTACTAGAAAAAATTCCACGCGGACATGGCAGCAGACGGGACTCGAACCCGCACCCTTCGCTATCCGGGCAAATGCACTGACAATTATGCTACCGCGGCCCTGATGGCCGTGTCGAATTTTCTCTAGCACTTCATAATAGTCAGTGCATTCACCCGGATAGCTAAGGGTGCGGGTTCGAGTCCTGTCTGCTGCTTGGTCCGCATGGAATTTTTTCTAGTAAAATTGTCTTTAAATTAATGGTTCTCTTTTCCATGCGAAATATATGCGATAGCTTCGGCTGTCACTGAATTTATCTATCTTTTATATAAATTAATCCGTTTCGTACAACATTTTCTGCTTATTTCTCAGTGCAATGGATGGCAGATACTGGCAAAAATCTCACGTGGTAAAGGTATGAAAACTTTCATCATATGCGAGGCGCACATCTCTGTTTCCTGTTTATTTATTTCAAAAAATAAGTTTTCAGGGATTTAGCCCGAATTATAAGGGCTTGAATTACACGTTTTCTTTTTACATTTTATAACTTTTATTTACATTACATTAAAATTTCGTACGTATCGCATTTTAGTAGGTACTTACATTTGTTATAGTTAGATATAATTATATTACTCACGGTTTCTCATTATTCCGATAATGTTCGTAAAGTAAAGCAAAATCGTAACACATCAAAGTGAGGTAGACCAACAAGCCACCACAAGATGGCAGCACTCGGTGGAGTACCAGGGATTGCCAGGGTGGCAGCTTAAATCCCAAAACCTCACCGGAAACATCTTGGTCCAGCTCGCATGTCACCATTTTAGGCACAACACGTTAACACTCATAGTTGCAATATTGACGTCATTAGTAATTTTGATAAGTAGTTGACACCTGCTCTTTGCAATAAGCTATTTGCACATCGCAAATTTAGATACCAAAATTCCTTTATAACTTAAAGTTTTTGGTAACTTAAGGAAATTATGCTCAATGTTCTTTGTTTTGTTTGTAACTAACACAGAGTTGGGTTTAACGTAGAATTTCTGCACCTCACACCCATTGATAAATAGTGATAAGATAATTTGTTGAGTCAAATAGATAAACGATGACATAGTTTTAGATTTTGTGCAATTACAAGGGCTTTTATAATTTCCTGTGGTCACAGACTCGAGGGGCTCATTTTTCTGGCTATTCTATAAAACAAACTTCCTTGTCACCGCGGATCCGCGGTGTGATTTAAAATTCGTGTTCTAGTTTCAAATCACACCACGGATTCCGTGGTTAAAAGTGAGTTTTGTTCTTACAGAATAGCCAGAAAAATGAGCCCCTCTAGTCACTGCGACCACGGGAATTTATAAAAACTGCTGCGCAAATGTAGTCGTAAGCCTGATTGAGTTCAATGACTATTCTCCTCCTCCTCCTCCTCCTCCTCAAAAATCTCCCGTTTCTCTTTGGATTCAACAGCCGCCGCTGCGAGTCCGAAATATCCCTCATGCACTGTATTATCATCTGCACAGCAATGAATATTCCCTATATGTAGCAGAAATTTTTTTAGAGATAAGACGGAACCCTGAGACACTCCGGCATTCACACGAATTCTACGTTTATACAGAAAGTCAGCAGCTGACTTCCTGTATGAACGTAGAACTCGTAGCTAATAGCTGCTACCCATGAACAGAACTGCGCGGGCAGACCATATACCGAAAGCTTGTAGAGAAGATTCTTGAATCAGACCCTGTCGTAGGCTTTGGCATATCAAGGCTGATAGCCAACGATTAGCCCCGCTTGTCGATTGCCTTACCCCGTATTTGAGTCATGTAGGATAGGAGCACTCGTCGATCGTTTCGGTCTAAAGCCAGGTCAGATGGTTGTTATGGACCTTTTATAAAACTACACAATACTGAGGTGACTGCTATTGACAGAAAGTTGGCCGGGTCTGAGCGGTTCCCTTATTGTTTCATGTTTGCAATGAATTTGTCACTTAAGAATTCGTGATGTATGAAGAAAAACTAATGTCATGTAACGTTGTGATAATTTTCCTTAAATAAATATTATGCGCACAAAGCTCTATATTATTAATACATTTAAAGTTTAGAGAACCATGCCAGAATCGACACAATTAATTAAGCATACGCCATTACACGGTAAATCAATCCTCATATCGATTGCCAGCTTTTTGTCCAGCAGATGCATTGAGGCTTAAGTTGATGGTGCTATGATACGTGGACATTAATGATAGTGTTTCTCAAGGCTCAGTGCTGTCCCCGAGGCCGATTTTACTACACGTCAATGATATACTATCGAAAACACAATTGTCTCTAGTGGAAAAAATCGCGAACGACCTTCCGAACATTCCTCTCACTAGGTTTTCAAAGAGCATCCTTATTTCTTAGTCACTCAAAGAACAAGGTTCATTTCACCTCGGAGAAGGAACGTTAGCATTCTCAACAGAGCGAAGTTTTACCAAAACTGCTAAAGACATAAGTCAGGTCCCATATTATGGAGCTTGAGCACCTGTATATCAATTAGGGTTTTGGGGTATATTGACTTATTGCGGATCAAACATGCGTAAGGCGCAGCGCACACTGGGAGAGGCCTGGCGAAGATACTGAGAACTTAACAATTTAGGTTAAATCCTAATTCCCATATCATAAGTTTAAAAATTCATTGCAAACATGAAACAATAAGGGAACCGCTCAGACCCGGCCAACTTTCTGTCAATAGCAGTCACCTCAGTATTGTGTAGTCTTATAAAAGGTCCATAACAACCATCTGACCTGGCTTTAGACCGAAACGATCGACGAGTGTCTCCTATCCTACATGACTCAAATACGGGGTAAGGCAATCGACAAGCGGGGCTAATCGTTGGCTATTAGCCTTGATATGCCAAAGCCTACGACAGGGTCTGATTCAAGAATCTTCTCTACAAGCTTTCGGTATATGGTCTACCCGCGCAGTTCTGTTCATGGGTAGCAGCTATTACCCTGCAGCTGCTACCCATGAACAGAACTGCGGTCCACGTATCATAGCAGCTACCATCAACTTAAGCCTCAATGCATCTGCTGGACAAAAAGCTGGCAATCGATATGAGGATTGATTTACCGTGTAATGGCGTATGCTTAATTAATTGTGTCGATTCTGGCATGGTTCTCTAAACTTTAAATGTATTAATAATATAGAGCTTTGTGCGCGTAATATTTATTTAAGGAAAATTATCACAACGTTACATGACATTAGTTTTTCTTCATACATCACGAATTCTTAAGTGACAATGTCAAGTGACCATAACTAACACCTCCTCTCAATGTTAAATTGCAAACAATTTGATATTGCTAATAGTTATTAATATTTACATACTTAAACAAACAAAGCCTCCTCTCAAATAAAAATCCTAACATAAAATTACCACTACCTACTTAACTCAATTTATTAACAGCACTTATAACTTAACACCAAATTAGAACAACCTATATATAACACTTATTTTTACTCAACTCCTAACTTTCTAACAAAGTAGGCATGCTTTACAGAATTGAGAGGTTTTGTAAATATATCCGCTACATTATCATTAGTACAAACATATGACATTCTAAATTTCTTTTGGATAAAAGCATCTTTGACAAAATGGAACTTTATATCGATATGCTTAGTGCGTTTGCTGTTTTCGTTACGCTCTATCATGCGAATTGCACTTTGACTATCTATGAGCAGATAGGTGTGAACATCCTTACACTTAAATGTGTTGAGAATACCTTGTAGATATATTATCTCAGCCGTTGTTGTTGCTCCCGCTATATAGTCCGCTTCTGCAGACGATAGAGAAACGGTGTTCTGCTTTTTGGTAAACCAAGAAATAAGATTACCCGAATAGAATATAGCACATCCGCTCACACTTTTTCTATCGGCTTTGTCGGATGCCCAATCTGCGTCACTATATGCTACGAGCTTATTTTTATCCTCCACTCCTTGTGTGTATAGCATTCCTTTAGTAGATGTAGACTTTAGGTATCGAAGTACACGCTTTGCTGCTGTCCATATAGATCTTGTAGGTTTATCTAAGTATTTACTGAGAAACGAAACTGCAAATGTTATATCTGGACGAGTAGTAGTTGATACATACGTAAGACATCCTATAAGCTCACTGTAAGGCACATCATTTATCTTTTCTTCTTCTAAATTTATGTTAGCTTCCATGGGTGTTAATGCTCCCTTACAATCTTCCATTCCAAACCTTGATAATACCTTCTTCACTAGTTTTTCTTGTTTAATTGCCAATTCTCCTTCTTTCCTTGATATTTCCATTCCTCAATATTCACTGATATCTCCCATCTCCTTCACGTTGAATTCTTTTCTTAGTTCACTTATTATTGGTTCATAATCTCCCATTACAATAATGTCATCTACCCAGATAAGTATCCACGTTTTTGAACTTGTGTACAGACAAAAATCATATTTAGAGCTTTCGAAATTTTGGGAAATAATAAAGTTATGAAATCTCTCGTTCCAACATTTCGGTGCTTCTTTAAGACCATACAATGAACGTTTCAATTTAAGGACCTTGTTTTTATTAATCTTTACTCCTTTTGGTGGTTTTATATACACTTCCTCTGATAAATGTCCGTTCAAAAATGCTGTGGGTACGTCAAGTTGTTTCATAGGTAAGTTTTCTTGCACTGCTAAACAAAACATCATCCTTAATGTAGACAGCCTAGCAACAGGGGAGTAAACATTATATCTATTTTCTGTTTGAAAACCCTTAGCCACTAATCTAGCTTTCTTCTTTTCTCCTTGTTTTGTTCGAAAAACCCACTTGGTATCAATAGCTTTCTTCCCTTTTGGTAATGTTGCTTCTTCCCATGTATCTAACTGTTTCAAAGAATTAAGTTCACTCTCAATCGCATCTTGCCATTCCTTTCCTCCTTCAATTGCTTCTTCATACGTTTGAGGATCTGTCATTAAACAATAAGCAATACTACTTTCATATTCATTTACTACGTCTTCGTCACAATCGTAATCTCGTAGATACGTTGGTGTTTTACAAATTCTTCCAGATCTAGTTTTCTTTAATTCTTCTATTTCTGTTTCATTTTCATTGACACTTTCTTCAGTTCTCTCTTCTACAATTTTTTTATCATTTTCTTCTCTATCTTGTTCATGTGAAGTTCCTTCCTTACTTATCTCTTCTGTTTCTTCTACTTTTTCTTCCTCAGTCCATATTGTGTCTTCTTTCTTATTATCTTTACTTTCCTTAAATGTCACATCACTCTCATCAAAACGAACATCACGCGATTCTACGATTTGATTATTCATTGGATTCCATAGACGATAACCATTGTTTGAGTAACCTACCATTCGTAACTCTCGACCTCTTTGCTCAAATTTGGATCTCCTTGGTAAAATTGCAGCCCATGTTTTACTTCCGAATGCACGTAACCTGCTAAGATCATTGCTGCCTAAAAAAAATTCGGCTGGTGTCCTGAAATTTATTGTCGATGAAGGACATCTGTTGATTTGATATGCTGACGCCATTATTGCCTCACTCCATAGATGTTTAGGTAAACATGACTCTACCATTAGGGTTCTAGCTCTGTCATACAGTGTTCGATTCATGCGTTCAGAGACTCCGTTTTGTTGTGGTGAGTATGGTTGCGTGTATTGAATATCTATACCTTTATTTTTGCAAAAATGTGCTAAAGTATTGTTTCTAAATTCCTTTCCGTTGTCGCATCTAATCTTCTTTACTATTGCCTCATACTGTGTTTCAATTTTGTTTATATAATTTATCAAATTGTTTGTTGCCTCTCCTTTGTGCTTGAGTAGACTGACCACTAAAAAATGCGAAAAATCATCAATTATTACTTGATAGTACAGATGTCCGTATATTCCTGGAATATTCACTGGTCCTGCTATGTCAGTGTGAATCAATTCACCTATAGCTCGAGATCTTGGTCTTGCTACTGGAACAAAAGGTAATCTAGTAGCTTTACCTTGCATGCATGGTCCACATACCTCATTGCTTACGGGAAGTTTGAGTATCTTCAACCCACGTCGGTTAAGATGTCCTAAGCGCCTATGCCATAGACAGTCAGAGTTAGTTCCTGCACTAAGAGCAAGTTCTGTATTTAGAGTGAATAATTTACCCTGCTTTAGACCAACCAGAAATTTACCAGACCTCCTATCATTTATATAAACTTTATCTTTGTTAAAATTAACAGTATAACCATTTTCTAGAATTTTATTTACAGATAATAAGTTAAATTTTAAGTTTTTCACAATTAATGCTTTAAGAGCTGTAATATGACCATTGGCGAACAATTTAATTTCACCTACCTTTTTAGCTATAAGAAAATCTCCATTAGCAATATGAATCTTCACCTCTTTTTCTAAATTTTCGATGTTACTCATACTATTCTCAAATTTATCCTGAACAAGATGATCCGTACAACCTGAGTCGATTACCCATTTTATCTCTCCGACTTTGTACGACGTATTGCAATATTCTGTTGAAGTGATGAAGCTGAAAGCGGTGGTAGCTGCTAAAGAATCCTGTCTCGTTTCATACTCGTGGTGACCTCTACCACGTTGATTCGTCTGACGTCTGCTATATCTACCTCGACCTTTGCCTCTGCACTGTGATGCTATATGTCCGTGCTTGTTACATCGATAGCATGTGATGAAAGCTGCATCATCTGATTTGGAGTTTTCATTTGAATTTGCCATTGTCATTTTCAGTTCCTCGTCTAATAGTCTTGATTTAACAAATTCTAGTTTTAGGTTTTCATTGCTCAATGTTCGATCGCTGTAATTACATTATCATATTTTTCACTTAATCCAATCAACAAATAGCATATTTTATCCATCTCACTAATCTTTTCATCCGCGCACTGAAGCTCTCTGACTATATCATCGAATCTCGAAAAATATTCTTCTAATCTTTCCGTATTACTATGTTTTAACGGACCTGAAAAAAAGACGGACGTAATATCAAAGGCAAATCATGTGAAGCATGACAATGACATGTAGGTCAGACAAAATCGTGTGTTGTACACTACCTACACTCACACTAATGCACCAGGTCGGACAATCCGCTGCCATTTGAACTCGCGTGACAGCGCCAGTCACACGTTCAATTGCTCCGATATATTTTTAAAAAATAAAAAAGGTAAATTTAAAAAATCAAAAAACCCGACTGCTTAATTATACTTCAAATAAAAACTGAAAAGAAAAAAACAAGTCCAGTAGTCTATAATTCTGTTAATAAGGAACAAAGCTACTTTAACAGTCGGGACCCATTAGATATTCAAGAATACATAATATTTTTCAACAGTGGGTCCCGACTGTTAAAGTAGCTTTGTTCCTTATTAACAGAATTATAGACTACTGGACTTGTTTTTTTCTTTTCAGTTTTTATTTGAAGTATAATTAAGCAGTCGGGTTTTTTGATTTTTTAAATTTACCTTTTTTATTTCACACTTTTTAGTTAGTTAGTATTTTAAGACGGTATATACCGTAGTCTTGTTACTTCAGTAAGGGAATTAATATCGCGGGAATTATTAAGTACCTTAAGACAGTCTAAAAATGAATCTAATGATACCGCATACATATTTTTTTAAAGGGAAATTTAGAAAAAATATTATTATGTCTTTATCCCGTGGGACTTTTAGGATAAAATGTATCCTATGACACTCCCGTAATCAAGACAAATCTAACGATACCTCATACATCAAAATCCATCAAGCCGTTTAGGCTACAGGAGGTCACAAAGGAACAGACATACATACATACTTACATACACTCCCTCAACATTACCCTCCCTCTTTGGCAGTCGGGTAAAAAATGCCGTCTTGTGTGGTGAAATCTTTTAAAAACTACACGAGTAAATTTGAAAAGTCACAAGGAATCACCTACTATGCTTAAGTATTGACGATTCTTGATATTTTTTTTATATTATATTTTATTTACAAGGATGAAAATGGTAAACAAAAATACAACTGCGTGGCTACTTTATTTACGGGAAATTTTCCCTAAAAGTAGGGAAATTTGTATTTCTTGCATTTGTGACTAGGCAAGATAAGATTTCGTAAATTTTTAGGGTTCCTATCGCTACTGTTCCAAAAAAATATCTATAATAGTGTCGAGCTAGTTTCACAGAATTTCATAATAAATTTTATCTCAGTACGACTTGACAGGGCGCTGCGGCTCTTGCAAAAAATATATTATTAGACGAAAGGTACATCATGTTGCGTCTCTTTCTACGTTATAGGATTGGCATGATATCTCCTTTCCTCACTCTGTCAGTCTTTAAATACGTACTCAATCTATGAATGAAATACTTACATTTGAAAGAAGAAATAGCAATATTAGTCTATTATATTTTTATTTTAAGCATTAATCTGCGCGATTTATGTATATTAATGTATGTTATTAACCTCATACATACTATTAAGACACTAACATTTATATGTAAACAATAAAGTTCTTTTTACATAACAAGTGCTTTCTTTTCTATCTCGGTGTTCCTAAAAATAATTTGATAGACCGTTTAAATTGCTGAAAAATCAGGAGCTCACAACGAGTAAAACACGTGGTAAATATCCCGTTTTTATAATATATATTTGATTACATAATGTTAACAATGTTTTAGTTTGGGAGATTTAAAAAGTAGGGAAATTGATGATTTACCCGACAACCCTGAAATCACGCACACGCTGTAAGCGGGCGGCCATTTGCATGCTTCACTCGAGATAAGACGAGGTTACGTCCGTCTTTTTTTCAGGTCCGTGGTTTTATATTTAATAATTTTCTTCTGAAGTGAATTTTCGTTATGACACTTTTTCTATGAAATGTATCATTTATTCTTTCTAGCATTTGGAAGGCCGTAGCGCAGTCTTTAATAATGTTCAAATATTTGTCTGGCAAACAATGCACGATAATATTTTTGGCTTTTGCATCTTTAGTCGAAAAATCAGAACTTTTTGTTTCTGTATCATTTATTATTTCATTTAGACCTTTTTCTTCTAATATGCAACGTACTCTAAAAAGCCAATTGTTGTAATTTTCAGCATGTAGCTGCGGAAAATTTGTCGTACTAGCAGCCATTTTCTTTTTTTTTTCACAAATTCTGTTCTACTTTTTCGATAAATAATATTTATTTATTTTCTTTATCTCATTTCATTCTTTTCTGCACTTTTATGGGTGATGCGGCCCATAACCTATTAATAATATACAGCTTTGTGCGCATAATATTTATTTAAGGAAAATTATCACAACGTTACATGACATTAGTTTTTCTTCATACATCACGAATTCTTATGTGACAATGTCAAGTGACCATAACTAACAAAATGGTTCTCTAAACTCGCAAAAAGTGAGATTTTATTGTACAGAATGGATATTTGAAAGACGCATTTGCAAGTAAAATTCGGACAGAATTATCTGTCAATCAATGTGACACCAGTGACATTGACGTTGACAATATTGACATTTCATAGTTTTCAAAGGCCGCAAAGGTTTTATTTTTTACAAAAATTTTAGTTAAATTTAAAATTAATTTGTCTAAAGTTACATTATAATGTTAAGGAATTTAATTTCACGAACATTTGTTCGTCATAACCAAAGCAAGAATCTACAAAATTTTCCAGCATACAGTCGTAAAATCAACAGACAAGTACATTGTGGAGTTTGCTTACAAAATCCAAGACAAACATCGAAGCCAAACACTGGTGCTTCCCCCGCAATAGCCAGCAAATATCAAGTGATAAATGAAGATAATTCGCCTGTGATCGAAAACACAGCTGAGGAAATTCATTTCGAAAATTCATATCCAATTTTAAGTGACGAATATGATGGAATTAATCTAGAAAGTAAGCTGTTACTTTAGAAGTTTAAAATTAATAATGGGAAACCTTTTTGGTATTTTTACATCTAATAATTTTCTACTTTTTTGTAGGAGGGCAAACTGGTGTATTTGACATAGAAGATTTAGTTGAGCTTCTAAGGCGTGAGAACTCCAAGGATATATTTGTAGCAACAGTGCCAACAGAGATAAACTATGTTGACTATATTTGTATAGTAAGTGGAAGAAGTAAAAGACATATTCAGGCACTAGCTGAATTTGTAAGAAAAGTGTATAAGAAGAAATGTTATAAGAGTGATCCAATACCCAGACTAGAGGGAAAAGATTGTAACGAATGGATAGCTTTAGACTTAGGTAAAATCATAGTGTATAGAGCTAAGAGATAAAAAAATATTTCTATGTCCCTGCATGGACAATGAAAAATGTCTAGTAATTAGTGAATAAACATGATATTTTGTTTTTAAGAAGGCCTATATAATTCTTATTATTTTTCAGGAAACATAGCATTACATATTTTCTCAGAAAAGACAAGGCAATTATATGATTTGGAAACACTTTGGTCCGTTGGAGCTGAATACGATGACTTGACCAACAAAAAGAATGAAATTGACATATTTGAAGATTACAGTTCTTTCTTAAAAGATCTCAAACCACTGTCATAGGAGGAAATAATTGCTGAAGTAGAAAATATTAAAATGATATTATTTTTAATTTTTATTTCATGTAATTATAATTAAAAAACCATTAAAAGTCTCATATAAAATGTTTACTTTTGCTTAATTACATTTAAGATACATAAAGTATTGATTAATAGTTCAACCACAATCTAAAATTATGATAAAATATGTAATCAATAATTGTTCCATTAAAATAAAATATTTATATTGTCTTTATATTTAAATAATTATATATTTAAATGAAATAATAAAATTGATAATTTTATCTAATCAAGATCATAGAACAAAGATAATAAATTACATATTAAAAACAATTTGGCATAAAATATACAGACATGGCAGACAGCTGGCTTTACCCTGTAGTATAAGCTGAGATATCTTCTTACCTGTTTTTTTTTAAACTGCTTTACAGGAGTACCAACATCTTTTCATCGGTGTTTCCATCTGTAAATAGATATCCCACAGCTTAACTTGTGGTTTAAGCCAGAGTGCAAAGGTCATAACATAAAATTTATTAGCAATGTCTATAAATCTAAATGCAATATTAAAATGTAAATTAATACAAAAGTACAGCAGTTAAGTAAAACATTCATACACCAATCACAAGATTCATATGTCAGTCATTTTGCAGTTTCACATTCTAACAATTCTAATTTATACTCTAAATAGCATAGTTTTGGAAGCAACCTATGTATATTAGTGCTTCTAACTTAATAAACCAGTTAAAGTAAGAATAATGGAAGCCAAATAAGACAGTACACAAAAAGTGAGGGGTAATTACGAAATCAATTATAATTAATTGTTACTTTAAAACCACTATTGGACCACATAGAAGTCTTTCAATTTAATGACTACAATAGTGTTAAAATTTGATACTTCAATACATTGACTCTGAAATATGTATGACTAATCAGCAATATACCATTTCGGTATAATTAATTGACATAAGGTTCTGGATAAAACATTATAAATTACGTTATAAAGTATACAGTTAAACTGTTAACAACTCAAAATACTTTATGATATAATGTAATAGAAAGTATACAACTTTAACGAAATTCTTTTCATAGCAATAGAGTATTTGACAAGTTTAAGAAAACAATCTCACATTATTTACTAATGTTTCCATTGTCTATAAAAAGTGGATATTCATTATTCTGTTCAGATTTTCAGTAAAAAAAACTAAATCAAAAGTTCCATTTTCAAATTGTTGCGAAAATGTTTCTCTGGACATTATGGCATCTCACTAGCCCACACAACTGTCATTTAAATGTGAAACAACACAATGTTTTGTCACTTTGACCAGAAGTTTTCAAGTGTGTGGTATCATTTTAGTCTTCACCAATCACAGGGGTTTTTGTTTACTTGTTTTTTGTTACCATAGAACAAAAAAATCCCTTCTATAACACAATTTTTAGAAAAGTTTTTACTTGTTTGTTCTTTCAAAATAGTAAAATTGCTGCTAATATTCAAATTAAATACAGATGCCAACAATTGTACTTTATTTTTCATACTGTCAAATACCCTATTATACAAAAAATAAATTTTGTAAGTCGTAAATGATAAAAATAGTTGGCTATTTTATAGATCAAAATCCACAGAGATAGAATATCTCATCCCAGCACTCTATGTCAAAAACCTGAAGCGTGCAACACTTGAATGTGTTACATATCTAGCATAATTATATACTTAGGGCTTACATTAGACTTAGTATTGTGATGATTAATTAGCTGGATCCTGCAATGATAATTTACTATTCCTGATGGAATGTATCTCAACTGCCTTTTTTATTTTAATTAACATTGACCATAATACAAACTGATAATTATACATCACAAGACATCAAATAAAATTTAGGGAAATATAATAAACTGGTGCGTCCTAAAAGTAGTACAATATTACAAAACATATTACCAAGTAATTTGTGATTTAATTTGGATTCAAATTTTGGCTGATCTGATGACTAATAAATTATGACAATATGGCCACACTTCGCCTGATGCCAGCACCTGTGTTAACATTGTCTAAGCTTGACCATTTTTTAATACCATTCTTTGTTATCTCTGCAGCAATTTTGTCTTCCATAACTCTAGACATTGCCTCCAATTTTTGGGCTCTCTCTTTGCTAAGTGGTTCACTAGGGAAGGCTAAATCATTAGCTTCAGCCAGTGTGCGTAGATCAAAATAATACTTAGCATACACACTCGATGGAACATTAATATTGAATTGCAACATTTCTAAAAACTGCCTCTCTAACTCATTCATATCTTTCACAGTGATATCCTTGAGAATTTGGCAGTAATCTACATTCCAAACTGCTTGGTCATCCCAAACTTTACTAGCCAGTAATATTGCACCCAATACTATCCTTTTCCAATTTGATGGAGATATGTCAAGCTCTGCATAAATAAGAAGACGTTCCAAATACACCAGAGTGATAATAGCACACTCTGCAGTCAGTTGAGCTGCATTAAACAAAGTTCTTACAAACTTATATATTTGTTTATGCTCAGGATTATACTTATCATAATCATCAGTTACCCCTTCCTTGCTAAGTGGGTGAAGCTTTTCATCAAATATATCTAATGTACGTTCAGATGTTCTGTTCTTTATATGATAATAAATAGCCAGTGCAACACACTTCACTGTGTTTTTCAGATTTGGTTGTGACACAGTACTATCGTCTAAATAAATAGTTGAACAGGAACTGCTTTTCTTGAGCTTGTCAGCAATTTGATGCTGACTTCGCTTCCTAGTCATACCATTTTCTATGGATGCCTTTGATCTTTCCATGAAAATAGTACCTGCTATAGGGTCTTGAGAAGGATCAATATCGCCATCATCAGGTTCTCTTTCACTGATGTGTTGTATGTTGTTTGAACTTACTTCTCCTTCTGGTAGTCTATCTTCTAGTTTAACGATGTCTTTCCTGATCGGCGAAGGACTTCGGTAACAGCAACAACTATTTTGGTTACCCATATTAATACAATATTTGTGTAAAGCGAGTTATATTATTATCATTCTATTCACACAGCTGTATTTTTAAGCTCTTAAATAGTACGCCGATACACAATAACGACGAAGGCCCATAATAACTGAAACAAAAGGAAACTGCATGAATAATCTTTAATATTACTAAGGACTGTCATATAAAAAATACTTTAGGGTTCCGTGTATAGTCAATTGCTGTTACCTTAGCATTTTACGATTTCAAAAACGTAATTACAGCATCTTTTGAAAGAATCTGAAGGCAATTTCCGAGCAAAATTTATTCATTTCTTCAAAGTCACTTGCTCGCTTTTTGGGAAATGAATTGACTTGACATGACTGACACAGCAATGACAGCTTCGTTCATAAAAGTCATTTTATTTATTGGGAAGTCAAAGGAAACTAAATCTATCGAGCCTAGCCTAGACCCGCATTCTTAACATTATTAACTACAATACAACCGCATTACAACAATTATTAACTACAATAGTATTTTTTTATGTTTTGTCATTAGAATGCTGGTTTATACATTAAGTCACGCCAGAATCGACACCATTAAAATAACGACACGTAAATATGTTTCTGCCTCTACAATGGCGCGATTTGGAGGCGCACACGCTCGCTTGGTTCGTGCCGTCACTTCACTTGGCTATTCGTATATGCATTTATAAACTTGAAAAAAAGACAGTTGTCACGTTATTTGCGGGGTGTAGTAAGTTTACCGTTTATAACTATTCCCACGATATTTAAGTTTCTCAGGTAACTCAAAATTCACGGTGTAGACGAAAAACATATCGCGTTTTCATAGAAAATAGATCTCGGTATGGAGAGCTTTTTAATATTGATATTCTATAATAAAGTCTTTTTTCAATTGATGCACTGTATGCGTATGTATTCAGTTTGGAAAACTAAGTGTGTGTAATCAAGGAGTCATGTGTGTGGAATTTGAGCGAGAGGCAGTGGCAACACTGCCTGCGTGTAATATGTTTATAGAAGGACTTGATTTATAAGTTCTCGCGTGGCGTGGTAAATAAAATAGACATCAATTCATTCAAATCTGTCCAGCCGTTTAATAGTAGAGATAACAAAGAAGCACAAGCTTTAGCATTTACAACATGATATGTATTGTATGATATCCCAACAATATTAGAAAAATCTCAATGTCAAAAATCACTTTTACGGAATATCGAAATATCGTCACTAAATTAGGTACTTGTGTTTATAAAGATATCGATTTACAATGGGACTGTCTTGGGTCAGCACTATGTACAGTGATGTGACTTATCTGAGATAAAAGTATCTAGATACAAGATACACAATACGTATTTGTATTTTGTATTTCAAATACTTTTTTATATTTGTTATATCTTGTATTTAAATACTTTTTTCAGTATCTTAGTATTTGAAGATACTTTTTTTACTAAGATACTTTATCTTTTCCTATACTTATCATGTTTAACATTGATTTTAATATGCATGCATGCGATGCGATTTGTAAATTAGTGCGTTTCTATTCGAAGTCCAAGTTTTCTATTAACTTTATTCACCGTGAAAAGAAAATCGTAAGTTCATATGTTCAGTGTTCACTAGAGGAAGTTTGTGTCAAATTTCTTTGACTTGCTTTGTAAAGGAGTGAAATGAACATAATAATCAGGTTATTTTTACAAATAATTAGAAAGAGAGACCGGAGCTTATTAATGATAGTCACCCATCCCAAACACAATCAATCGTAAACATGGTCACCCATCCTAAATCTGACCTATATATAAACACCCTGCACTTTCAGAACATCGAAAAAAAAACACCGAAACTATCATTAATTCATAGATCTTGATAAATATTGAAGAAACGTGAATGCAAGTAAGATCAATAGTAAGATGATGATGATAAATTTGATGATTGGAAGAACAGTAGCCACATCTTTAGGTTCGTGGCTTAACGGTTTTGTTATCAAAAAATAGGCACAGCGGACAGGCTATATTGCTAACATATTTCGATTCAAAAAGTATCTTTATGTTAAAAAAAAGTAGGTATTTTGAAAATACGTATAATGCGAATCAACTAAGAATAGGATCGACTGGGCGCCATTTTGTGATGTCAAAGCTGTCAATTGAAACAAAATAGGTAGAGTGAGCAATAAAAGTTCTTCTTCGATAAAACTTATTTACTAAGATTAAGTGAAAAAAACATCAGATTTTATTAATAAAATTTATTTACTAAGATTGAGAAAAAAAACAACGATTTTAATAACATTTATGACTGTGTGAGTAAAAATATTAACCAGAATCTAGCTCTTCAATTCCGCTCAGCTCTGCATAACTGGCGAAGTTGTCATTGTCGTCATGTTTGTTTACAAATGTTTGGTTTTTTTTATTCTAGAATTAGCTGAGTGCTAAAAAAGAGTTCCAAGATTTTTTGCAAACCATACTTTTCAAGCGTCATTTGACAGATGGAGGTCATTGGCTTTCCTATTCTTATTTGAATCGCATTTTATCTTGTATCTGATATTTCCAATACTTTTTCCAAAAGTATCTTGTAGCTGTTGTCTAAATACTTGACTACCTGGTATCTTTTATTTTGTATTTTAGATACTTTTTTTAATGTATTTTCTACATCTCTGACTATGTAAAGAAGCCATTTTCGTTTCCGTTTAACGTATACACGCGTGTTTTTTTCGTAGGTATGCCATCTCCATAGGTTTCAGTACTCAGAGTAAAAGTAGGACCCTGAAGGTCAGACTCGCATATATAAACAGAACGGATCCTAATTTTTCTATTATTATTACAAAATGCTAATGCAGGACGTTCCGATCGCCTTTTTCCTAAAATCGGATCCTAAATTGGAAGGAGCACAGGACAATTCATCCGATTTCGTCCGATAAAACGGTATGTAAGCAATACACTTTCTGATCCTGTATGATTTATCGGAAATAGTTTCTGCTTAAAGCACATGCCGAGCACCAGCGTCGTGTACAGACGTTTTACGCGTGTACATTAAATAAATGTACCTTAGATAAAATGTCATCAGTCGAAACAAGCGATTTGGTATAAGACCGAGATAATTTTGCACTATTTTTGGAGTGCTATCTATAGAAACTTTATTTGTTTATATATTTTAACTGCGTCAGCTGATAACCATTGTCAACCGATAGAAATAAGTCCTATGAAAGACATATGCAAATTATATAAAAAAGTTAGGAAAAATGTAACATTAGCTGAAAAAAAAACTGTCTTATCTGTCCGATGAAAGTAAGCACATATCAGTGAGTGTGTAGAAAATGCCTCCGACTGAAGGTAGAAATTTTACGTGTCGTGGCGCGATGGCGTGGCGCGTGATAAGGAATTACGCTTAAGGGTTTCTTTCTTATTATTAAAAATAATCACTTTATAAAATATTAGAAACAGCTACGTACTAAATACCTTTTAGGACGTGGAAAAGGTGATGTCTGCTGCCAGGACCCGGGGAAAACTTGTTGTTCACTGCACTGTTAACTTCGTAATAAAATCCACAGGCGTTTGCGAATACCTTAAGTAGACTCGACCATCGAGTTGTTAGCCAAAATGCTTTTATTTTATAAATGTGTATCAAAGCTTTGTTAAATCATGAAAAACCTTTAACAGATTCCTTATCACTTTTAAGAAGGTTTGTGTTGGATATATAATGTATTTCTAGTCTGGATAAGAAGATATTTTACAAAATAAAATACCAATTGTTATTGGTTGATAACATTGCCGCCCATCATAAGTATACGTTTTTGTTTTCTTTTAAAGAAAGGAGCAATGTTTTGTTGTACTTATAATATGATAATTATCTTTGAATGTTTTAAAGAGATTTAAGTTAGTATAAAATGTAATTGTTACATTACCATAGGCTTTAATAATTACATTGTAAAAGATGGCGCCACTGTTAATTTGTTTGAGAAGGTGGGAACTAAAAGTATAAATTCAGATGTCTGGTGGATTTGACATTCACTTTTTGATCGAGACAAGGGATATCAGTGTGCAGCCTAAAGCATCAGCGTCATGTGAGTTAAGTAATAATCTTCCTATTGTTGTTTTTAACTTGTATTGGAATGATATTATTGTGATAATATTATAAGTTGAATATAATAATGATATAATTAACTTATAATTTTTGTCATTTACCATAGAGATTACCCCTGTAATCATATAACTTAAAATAATAGATAAGTTATATGTAAGTTAAGTTGTTATACTTTGTTTTGATATTTTAATTTAAATAATCAATAAATAATGTTCTTTAACTACCTTCGAAATTATAAATATTTTATTTTCCTTACAAAATAAAGAAATAAGAGTCTATTGAACAGTTTTATTTCAATTCCATTTGCTTTTTATTACTTTTTAGAAGTTTCAAAATTAAATAGGATAAAATTTATGACATCAGAAGTGGGATCAACAGCCTATTCTCATTAAACTAAAAATAATTGTATGTTACAGAATGGATGTCGGAGAAATAAGTGATTTACTGAAAGCAATAAGCAATGCTATCTCTACACCGAGTCAAAAGGATGACGACGTGGCACTACCACTCTTCAATCCGGACAACGATTCCGGAGCGGCTGGCTGGTGCGACAGCATTGAAATCCTTGCAAAGGAGTTCGGTTGGAGTAGTATCAAGACAGCTGCTAAGGCAGGTAAGGCCCTTAAGGGCTCTGCTTTAGCGTGGTTCGAAACTTGGGAACCTATAGAAGGAAGATCATGGGAAAATTTTCGTGCTGAAATAATAAGCTCCTATCCTGAGAAAAGGAATCTATCTGAGAGACTTGCTAAAGCAGTTCTGTATTGTTCCAATTCAGCTGATTCATATAGTGATTATGCTAGAGAAAAAATTAGGCTACTGCGTAGTACAAAAATTTATTTTTCTGATGCTCAACTCATTGAGTTAATCTGTGGCGGTATTAGCGATGTTGATATTCGAATGGCTACGTTAAATAGCAGTGTCGCTACGACTTCCGCACTTATAACTCTACTTTCGACGTATATTAAATCTTATAAAAGAACATCGGATAGCAGTAGTGATTCTTCTTTAGGAAGTAAACGACCTAAACTTAATAATGAAAAGAGATGCTTTAATTGTAATCAGGTGGGGCATTTCCATAAACAGTGTGTAAAAAACAAAGTAAATCCGTCAACACCGCGTCAAGTCTCGAACAAAAATCCTTTTGTTTTTAAGGTGTGCACATATTGTAATAAAAATGGTCATACTGAATCCGTCTGCTTCCATAAGCAAAGATCCGAAGTAGCAAGTACGTCTCCGATTACAGTTGCCCCCAAGAAAGAGGTTAATTTTTTAGACAAGCAGATATAAAACTTTGTAACGTTTGTATTAATAATATTCCTATTAAAGCTCTTATAGATACAGGAGCCAGTTGTAGTTTAATACGAGAATCAATAGCTCGAAAAATAGGTTGTCATTTTTTTCTTACACCTACTTATATTAACGGAATAGGCAAGAATAAAATCTATAGTTTTGCCACCGTCACGGTGATTGTTCAGTTTGAAGAAGTTTCTTTAGAACTTGATTTATATGTCACAAGAGATAAAGATTTTAGTTATGATTTAATTATAGGTAGAAATGCGGTTCAGTATCCTGACATAGAAATTATTACAACTTCTTCAGGGAGTTTTTTACGTAGAAAATCTATTGACATTAGTAATAAAGTAAATATGATCACCTTATCATCTGATATGACTGAACTTACCTCAAAAATTTATCATTTAAATCCTGAACTACAGGAACAGATTACACAAACTTTTCTCAAGTATCCTTCTGTCTTGGATGACAGTTCTACCGTAAGAACTGGTGAGCTGAGTCTGCGATTACACAGTAATGGCATAGTTTATTATCGCCCATATCGATTGGCTCCGGTTGAAAAGGAGAAATTAGATGAGATTGTAAATGATCTTTTGAAGAGAAACATAATTCGCGAAAGTAACTCGGTTTTTGCTAGCCCAGTGTTACTAGTAAAGAAAAAAGATGGTAGCGATAGAATGTGTATAGATTATAGGGCATTAAATAAGCTTATCGAAAAAGATCGATTCCCACTCCCCCTCATCGAAGATCAAATTGATAGGTTAGGTAAAGCTAAACTCTTTATATCAATAGACATGAAAAATGGATTTTACCAAATCCCGGTTTCACCAGAATCTGTAAAGTATACAGCCTTTGTCACTCCTAATGGCCATTATGAATTTCTTAAAATGCCATTTGGAATTTGCAATGGACCTTCTGTATTTCAAAGGGCTATAGCAAAAGCAGTACAGCATTTAAATTTCCTTCTGGTATACATTGATGACATACTTATTCCCTTTACAACAATAGAGGAGGGTCTGCGTTATTTAGAAGAGACCCTTTTTGCACTTAGCAAAGCTGGATTTACTATAAACCTGAAAAAATGTAAATTTTTCGTTGACAATATCGAATACCTGGGTAGACATATATCCCAGGATGGCATCAGACCAAGTGAAGCTAAAACTGCTGCTTTAGTTCATTCCCCCATCCCAAAAAATGTTAAACAAGTAAGGCAATTTATGGGTCTAGCGAGTTATTTTCGGAAATTTATACCAGATTTTGCAGTTCGTACAGCTTGTATAACTAATTTAACTAAAAATAATCAAAAATGGGAATGGAGTTCTCAACATGATGAAGCTAGAAATTATGTTATTCATCATTTATCAACCAAACCTTTGTTATCAGTTTTCGATCCAAAAATGCCCACTGAACTTTATACTGATGCAAGTTCATTAGGTTACGGCGCAATATTAGTACAAAACCAATATAACGATAAGCGAGTCGTTGCTTACTTTAGTAAAAGAACATCCCCTGCAGAATCTAATTATTGTTCTTATGATTTAGAAACGTTAGCAATATTTAATGCCCTAAAGCATTTTAGGGTGTACCTGTTAGGTATAAAGTTTAAAATTTTTACGGATTGCAATTCCATCAAATCAACAATGAATAAGAAAGATATCTCCCCTCGTGTTGCTCGCTGGTGGACATTTATGCAAGATTTCGAATTTGAAATAATATACAAAAAGGGTAAATACATAGGTCATGTTGATTTTTTAAGTCGTAACCCTGTCAAAAAATCTGTTTTAATTATGAATTGTAATACTGTAAACTGTGCTAAAAAGCCGCGTACCCTTGTAGTTAACTTAATTGAAGAGCCCCCTACATGGTTAGCCCTCTCTCAGCAGAATGATGTTGAAACCCGTAATTTGATTAGCCAAGTCATTTCGGGTGATCTAGATGAAAATCAGTACTTCTTGCATAATGATTTATTACTTTATAATTACAAACCTAATGAACCTAAGTTTTATATTCCAAAAGCAGCCCGATTAGAACTTTTAAGATTATTTCACGACGAAAATTGTCATGTAGGGTTTGAGAAAACGTTAAAAAAACTTAGAGAACATTTTTGGTTTCCACGAATGGTTCAATTTGTCAAAAAATACTTAAGACACTGTTTGATATGTATCCAACGCAAGTCACATTCAGGTCCTAAACAAGGATATCTACACCCAATAGAAAAAACACCCGTACCATTTCATACAATTCATTTAGACTGCACAGGCCCATTTACGATTTCAGCCGAGGGATATCGGTATGTCTTGCTCATTGTTGATGGATTCACGAAATTTTGTCAATTAAAACCACTTAAAACTTTAAATGCTCGGGAACTTGTATCAATTATTCGCGAAACTGTTACTTTATTTGGTACTCCATCATTGGTTATAACAGACAGAGGCACTAATTTTAGTTCGAATCAAATTGTAACATTATTTAGCGAATTGCATATAGAACACCATATGGTGGCTACTGGAACACCCCGTGGGAATGGTCAGGCAGAGAGATATGTAAGAACTGTAATAGATATGCTTAATACTATCTGCAACGGTTCGTCAGACTGGCCGAGCAGTTTGTGGAAAGTGCAACAATCTTTAAATACTACTATTCAAAATTCGACAGGATTTCCACCAATCCAACTACTTATCGGCCGTAATGCAAACATTCCAAGTATTCAGTCTCGTCTAAATAGTATAGGTGTTACGGAAAATAACACAGATGTTAGAACGGATCGTAATTTAGCTCACCAGCGTTTACGTTTAGAAGCAGAAAAATTCAAAACTCGTTTTGACATTGTCAGGAGAGACAGCACGATTTTTGAGATTGGTAATATAGTATTTGTTAATCAGGATCATCGTCGTCATGATAAGTTGAGTCCAACACATAAAGGACCGTATGAAATAATTGATATCCTTCCATTTGACAGATATTCGCTTAGAGGAATTAATGGGTTGAGGAACATAACTGTAGCTAAGGACAAATTGAGAATTTGGCCAGGTGAATTAGCTGATGAGAATGACGAAAATAATTAACACATTGTTTGTATAAAATGTTTTTTTTTTCTTAGTTTAAGGTACACGTTTATGTTTGACGTTTAAATGATTGTTTCAATTGAATTAAATAAGTCGAGCAATATAAAAAAAATAAAGTGATATGAATTGTGAATATGAACTGATGATCAGTTGTATGACAGCAGATATGGCTGGAACATATACCTATATTTAAAAAAATAAAGAAAAAAAAGAGGAACTGAACTGCTGAAGTCTTTTTGCCTTTCTTAGCCCGTCTCATGTGCAGCAGGTGTGGGGCAAGAAAACTGTCGACAAGGCAAAAGACCGTTGTCGCCAGTTCACTCAATGTGAGGAGTAGGCTGGGGCAATGTTCTATGTAATAGTATTGTATAGTATTAATGAACTGAACTGCTGAAGTCTTTATGCCTTTCTTAGCCCGTCTCATGTGCAGCAGGTGTGGGGCAAGAAAACTGTCGACAAGGCAAAAGACCGTTGTCGCCAGATCACTCAATGTGAGGAGTAGGCTGGGGCAATGTTCTATGTAATAGTTAAGTGAATACACAGTTTATGTGACTTGTACTTCGAGAACGAAGTACTTGTCAGAATGGCCGTGATAAGGAATTACGCTTAAGGGTTTCTTTCTTATTATTAAAAATAATCACTTTATAAAATATTAGAAACAGCTACGTACTAAATACCTTTTAGGACGTGGAAAAGGTGATGTCTGCTGCCAGGACCCGGGGAAAACTTGTTGTTCACTGCACTGTTAACTTCGTAATAAAATCCACAGGCGTTTGCGAATACCTTAAGTAGACTCGACCATCGAGTTGTTAGCCAAAATGCTTTTATTTTATAAATGTGTATCAAAGCTTTGTTAAATCATGAAAAACCTTTAACAGATTCCTTATCACTTTTAAGAAGGTTTGTGTTGGATATATAATGTATTTCTAGTCTGGATAAGAAGATATTTTACAAAATAAAATACCAATTGTTATTGGTTGATAACATTGCCGCCCATCATAAGTATACGTTTTTGTTTTCTTTTAAAGAAAGGAGCAATGTTTTGTTGTACTTATAATATGATAATTATCTTTGAATGTTTTAAAGAGATTTAAGTTAGTATAAAATGTAATTGTTACATTACCATAGGCTTTAATAATTACATTGTAAAAGATGGCGCCACTGTTAATTTGTTTGAGAAGGTGGGAACTAAAAGTATAAATTCAGATGTCTGGTGGATTTGACATTCACTTTTTGATCGAGACAAGGGATATCAGTGTGCAGCCTAAAGCATCAGCGTCATGTGAGTTAAGTAATAATCTTCCTATTATTGTTTTTAACTTGTATTGGAATGATATTATTGTGATAATATTATAAGTTGAATATAATAATGATATAATTAACTTATAATTTTTGTCATTTACAATAGAGATTACCCCTGTAATCATATAACTTAAAATAATAGATAAGTTATATGTGAGTTAAGTTGTTATACTTTGTTTTGATATTTTAATTTAAATAATCAATAAATAATGTTCTTTAACTACCTTCGAAATTATAAATATTTTATTTTCCTTACAAAATAAAGAAATAAGAGTCTATTGAACAGTTTTATTTCAATTCCATTTGCTTTTTATTACTTTTTAGAAGTTTCAAAATTAAATAGGATAAAATTTATGACACGCGCATAGGATCAGATGGTGTATTGGACTAAATGTACTTGGCCTGTTCATGTACAAAAACTATCAAGGAGTTTTTGGCTGGATGTCATCGCGTGCGGTTGGCGTCTTGTGGGTATTGGAATTAAAATTGGTGTGAATTTATGTTACTACGACTACGCAATTGAAAAATTAGTGGAATCGATTCCGGTCAACTGAAATAGCGTATATTTTAAAGATTGGACGTGAGAACTTTATTGTGGTGTTGACTACCTCACAGAAGCTTTTCGAAAAAGCCGACTCGATTCATTTCGTATCAAACATTCCAAGAAACATTAGAATGAGTCACACCGACATTCTAATAAAAAAAAACTAAAGACTAGGCTGTATGGGCATTATAGCTCTTTGACGTCCCAAAAAAGGATGAACCTAAAAAAAAACAATCCTGCATATAAATATGGCCGCTCGTTGAAGTTTTGTAACTGGAACTAAATACCACGCTTTAGTGCTACAATTTAGTACGGAACTGTAATTGAGAATCTAGGTGTGTATGTGATGCTGTAAAATCTTTTTGAAAAATGTGTGACACTCAATAATATCAGTACCTATGCATAATTCTCATCTCACCATTTTTTCAGACAAGAGATGCGTCGTAAGAGTGAACGCGCTGCTACTAAAAAAGCGAAGGCTTCACCGGAGAAAAAGCTTGATAAGGTAAAACGAACCAGAACTAGACGTAGGAAGCAATCGGCGTCATCTGAAAATGATTCTGCAGATGAAGTAACACCAGTGCAAGAAAAGGAAATTGTTAATGAACCTGTTCAAAAACCTCCCCTAACGCCTGGCAAAGAAGACAGTCCTGAGGATGCTCCTGATCAAGTTTGGCGTGTTAAATCAACTGAAGGAGGTGATGTTGGAGAAATTCAAAAATTAAAAATTTGTTTAACACGTCCCCCTTCAACTCCAGAGCGAGTGGATAGATCTCCTCGCAGTAAAAGAAAGCACTCGAGAGCTACTAGTTCAAGTGATACTCCAAGTTGTGAGGGAGTTGAGGAGAAAAAGAAATCCAAGCGTCATTCTAAGAGATCCACTCGTGAATCTAAAGATGAATCAGAAAAAAATCACGATAGTCAAGAAGAACCAGATGTGGAAGTTGAGACTTCACAAGATAAATCTAGTAATGAAATATCACAGAGCACCAAACCCACTGAAGAATCTATTTCAGATAACACACCAATGTCAACTACTAATGAAGAAGTAAAAGTTGTGGATAGTTCTGAGAATAAAGAAACAGTAACTCAAGAAAAATCTCAAGATGACTCTATTGAAAATCTTAAGTCTTCTGATGCTGATACAACTGTTGCTTCACCTAAAGTTGAAACAACAGCTGTATCATCAGAAGTAGATGCTAATGAAACTGTAGAGTCACATGAACCAAGTAGTTTTAAACCTCAAAAAGATTCTTCAGAAGATAAATCTGAAGTGTTAGAATTGCATGCAGAAGATAATAGATGTGAACCAACAAACACTGATACAGATAAGTCCAAAAAAGTGGACACAGATAAAAAAGTTACTCAAGATGGTGACCAGGTCATCTCTTCAAATGATAAGGTAAGTAAAACAGAAGATGAAACAGACAGTAATTCTTCTAAGAAAAAAAAGTCTCATAATGAGCATAAAAAATCTACTGATGATGTTGTAGAAAATAGGGAACAGAAAACAGATGACGGCAAAGAAAATTCCACTGCATTAACCAATGACAGAGAAGAAGATAAACAAGAAAAACATTTAGAAAGAACTGATTCCACCCAATCTGCACCAGAAGACACTATTGCAGCTCCTATTGTAGTAAGCAGAAAAAGACGTTGGGGTTCTAGACCCAACAAATCAACATCCACAAAATCTTTAACTATATCAACTGATGTTTTAAAAGAAATCATACCTGATGTTAAGCCTGCTGAGTTTGATGAAGTAATTGAAGAAAAGAAAAACAAAAGGGAAGTTATTGAAAAGTTGGAGAGGCCTGTATTGCCAAAAATTATCATAGACAATTCAGAGAATGTAGAGAACAATAAGAGGCATGAAGAAAAAGAAAAAGACATTGTTAAACCTCGTGATATACAAATGTTGTCTAATAGGAAAATATCAATAGTCAAAGAAAATGATAGTATAATTACAAGACCTCCAAGTCCACCAAGACATAAACAGTCATGTATTTTGTACATAACAAACCTTGTGAGGCCATTTACTTTGCCTCAACTGAGGAATTTGCTTCAAAGAACTGGGAGAATTGTAGAAGATGGCTTTTGGATAGATAGAATTAAATCCAAATGCTTTATAAAGTATGAAAATGAAGAGTAAGTAACTTATTTGTTTTTTAAGGTTTTCACGCACATCACTCATAAATTAAAACTAGTATTATTCCGATGACTCATTTCTGAAAAGGATGCAAACGTCAATAAATAAATAAATAAATTCAGTACATCTAACCTGTAAAAACTAGTTTTATTTACTAAGTAACTAACTAAGCTTTTAATAAAAATCTCTAAATTCTTGAGTTGCATTCATGATGTATTTGTTTAGTTTAATTAGTTCACTTATTAATTAAATTTTAAAAGGGTGATTCTGTGAGTCATTCCATCTTAAACATTAATTTGTTTACAGCCAAGCTGTTGAGACACGCCATGCTTTACATGGTGTCACATGGCCTGTATCAAACCCGAAAACATTGCAAGTGGATTTCTCGACTGATGAAGCATTTCAATTAGCCAAAACAAATGAAGATACAGACAAGGCACAAATATCAACTATTCCAGGTACAGTCGAGGACTGGCTTCGGGAGCAAGATATGAAAAGAGAAAGAGGAGAGATGGTAAGTCTAATTTATTAGTAACTTTGCCTTATTTTAAAATAAAATTAAAAAGCCTTTTAATTACCATAATTGAACTAACATATTTTTTTTTTAATCTTATATATAATTATAAATAATAATAATTATAGTCCCCGGAAAGGGTAAAGGCCTCCTCCATTGACGCGTCCCTGTTGCTGGCTTTTTTGGTTCAGGGGGTCAATAGCCTAACGGAATTGCTTTGGGTAATGCTATTGCTTACAATTTCATTTTGTTATTTCTGACCGCCGAAGGTTTTCAAATACATTACGCTCATTGTCTTTTATATTGTTCTTACCAATACAAAAGAAAAAAGAGTGCGGGGCATTGGAAAACCTTTGTTGGTCAGACATAACAAAATAAAATCGTAAGCGATAGCGTTAGCCATATCAATTTCGTTAGGCGAATGGCCCCTAGTTCTCACTGGCTATGCTTACAATGTCATCTGCCCATCGTTTGTATGGTCTGCCAACCCTCCTTTTTCCTGTGGGCCTTGTCCACTTTGTCGCTATTATAGACCTTTGCCTTATTTACATTAAAAAATTATATTTTTTAGGACAAATCTTTTGAGAGGAAAGCAGCCATGAGAGAGTGGGATATGGGAAAGAATGAAAAGGATAAGGATGGAAAGGATAAACTTCGTCGTCCTGATGACAGACCAATGGAAAAGAGGCGACACCGCAGTTTGGAAAGAAGTCCTGAACCAGGTATTATCTAATAGTCATATCTAATGAAACAGTAAACTTAATAAATAAATTTTAATTTTTAGTAAATAATAATAAAGTTCTCTAAACCCAAAATTAAATTTGACAACAGTTCTATACAGAATGAAAAGGAGAGACTGATGTCAGATTTAATTTTAAATAGTTTAGTGCCAGAATTGACTAGTGTCAATTGTTTACCTAAAAACTAATATCAATTTGTATACCAAAAACAGTACGTGCACAATTTTAATACAAGGAATAGAAATAAGCTTCCCACCCTACAGGTTGCAGGAGGTTTACCGATATTTTATGGGTCAAGGTATACATTTTTATAATAAAATTCCTCATGCTATTCTTGAGTTACCCATAAATGAATTCAAAAGCCACATTAAAAGTTGTTTACTTAAGGAAGGCTATTTTACTACTAAAGAATATTTGAATGACAAAACTGCATGGTTGTAACTGCACCTTTGTTTTGTAATTGTTTGCAGTGTCGTACAGATAAATTATTTTAATTCTTAGTTAATATTTTGCGGTTAGGTTTGAGTGGTTATGGGTTAGGGGTTATGTGTAGTCATGTTCTCTTAAAAATATCTTCGGTGATGACGTGTGTGGCGGGTCGTTACGTTCCCTAAAAAACGGTTGAGCAAAGCGATGGCGGGTTCATGCGCCATGCTCGTGAACGGGTGCTGCCAGCGGAGATAAAGTCTGCTCTTGCTACATAGGGTACTATTAACTGTTGTATTTAACTTTAATCATAAAATTTTATGCCTAAACAGTAGGACATGGCATTCCTAAACATTCCTAACCTTAAACTTCGTTAAATCAGTTTTTTATATTTGATTATTTTATAGTCATAATTTTTATATCATTTACATTTGTAATGGAAAGTGACTTCATGAGTTTTCTAACTTAATGTCATTTTTCAATTTGAAAACTCTTAATATAATACAGGGAGAAAAAAATTAGCCCTTGCTGAGTTTCTTGCTGGTTCTTCTCAGTACAAGTTACGATTTAATTTTGTTATTTCTAGCCGCCTGAGGTTTTCAAATGTCTCGCGCTCTTTTTTTTCTTTTGCATTGGTAATAATATTAAAAAAAATGAGCCTGAGGTATTTGAAAACCTTCGGCGGTCAGAAATAACAAATTCAAATCGAAAGCGTTAGCGTTTTCCATAGCATTTCCGTTAGGCGAATGGCCCCCTGGTATGACATTAAAAATATTATGTTCATGTTTTGCTTATAATAAATAAATGATATATTTCTAATTTTAATTGCAGCAAAGAAATTTAAAAAGAAGGAAGAGGAGGCACCTGCAAAGCTTCTGGATGATCTTTTCAGAAAAACAAAAACCACTCCTTGTATATATTGGTTGCCCCTCTCAGCTGAAACGGTAAGAGTTTTATTTATGTTTATCATTTATTTCTTGTATAGATTACATACACCAATAGTTATTGTGGTAGTGCATTGGTTGGCAAGGTGTCATGGGCTCGAATCCCAGCAGCCACAATTTTTTGTAAGATGAATATGAGCATTTGTACCTAAGTCATGGCTATTATACATATTTCTACAAAACTCTAAGGTCCACTTACAAGAAATTTGCTAAACCTCTATTTAACCAAAACAAGATGTAACCCATACAATAATATTAATCTGACATTATTGTATGGGCTAAATGTAGTTTACCTTAGTTAAATTAAGATTTAGCGAAATTGCTGCAAGTGGGCCTTAATTACACTTAACACAGCTTAACAGTGCTTAATTTGGGGCTAGGCTAAATAGTAATGGCAAAAGTAGTCCCCGCCACCAACTTCCCTTGGCAACAGCAGTGAAATAAGTCGCGGACTAAAGTAGTCTCTTTCACTCTCATTCATAAAGCAGATTACATCTCACTCTTAAGCCTCCACGTGCCAACAGTGTTAGCAACTGTCGTAATAAGTAATAACTAAATATTTTTACTTTAATTTCGTTACAACTGTACTTACAAATGCAATGAACCGTTTTTCTTGTCTGTAATAGTTCCCGTGTAATTTGTGTACTATTTAAAAACACAAATAGGGCTTTCTGTCTGGAAAAACGTAAATCTTTTACACATTGTTGTGAAGTGTAGCCGCGGCGAGAGAGCGTGCCCAACTGAATGCAGGTTGAGCTATTACCTGACTTTCGTATTGCCATTTTTGAAACGTATCTATAACTATAAAACATCATAACATGTATGAATTTGCCACTTCTATTTATTGTTATTTTGAATTACCTAAGTTTATTAAATTAACATAGGTAATCATATTATTATTATTAAAAAAAATGAAGTGCTGGTACAGTGTTACCAAATTAAGCATAGTGGTTTTTGGATTTGGAGAGGTACTAAAGTGATTCAGAGCCTGCGCTGTATTTCATAGAGCAGCGCTGCGCTGTTCTATTAAATGACATAAAAACTGCAGGCGGAGCTAACTGGATTTGTCTATAGGGATTTTTTTTATGATTGTTTCAGATCGCAATAAAGGAGGAGCAGCGGAGGCAACACATGGCCGAACATGAGCGCCGCTTGCAGGAGCTCCGTCGCACCCATCGACGCCACTAGCATGGTCCGTCTCACACCATTCATTCACACAACATACATTCACACATAAAAAAAAAACATTCACTCCACACATTAACACTACTCACATTAACATATTTTTTTTATTCTGCAGCTACTTTTCAGGTTTCATAGTTGTCTTCATATAGAATAATGACTTTTTCGCTCGTTAGGAGAGCTTATTATTTGTATTATTACTGTTAGCGTTATTACAGTATAGGTTTAAATGGACTTTCAAGAATGTGAAAGGATTCACAGAAGCTGAATAAATGATTTATTTTACACAAAATGTTATAGAAAGGCACGCTTGGAGGAAATCCTATGATTTTACCTGTCATCGGAGTAACGCAGTTCCTTGATCAAAGGGAGGCGAGACGTAGTCGGGACTCCGCATGGGACGGTTCTATCGCCGCCGACTTGACATGCAGCATTGAAGCTGGCTGTCCGAAATACGAGAGTGCACAAAATGTCTACATGGCTGTGCAGTTACTAAATTGTAATAATCATGCTCATCAATGATGCAAACTGTGGCATTTGCCATCAACTCTGACAAATATTCCACACAGTAATTATGACTGTGGCAACAAATTTATATTGACTGAAGACTTGAACAATTTAAAGAACCGACTGATTTTGATCAAAGTGAATGATGGAAAGCTTGAAGATAATCTACGGAACATTATGTATTTCTATGAATTTCTTATGATGGATTAACCTATCCATATGGAAGGATCATCACTATAGATTTGGAATTGAACTTGGTTTTGGAGTACTTGGTCTACATCATCTGCAATAGACACTTAGCGTGACATAATTTTGTGATGTAGTAAAGTAAAAATGTGGTTGAGTATTCTTGAGACTTGTTTTTGTCAGCCTTATGATATTCCATTGATGTTAATAAACTTTTCTTATCCTATTTAGTTGTTTTATTAGTTCATAATATAACCATAATCCTCATAAATGATATTTAAATCTGAGAAAATCTTACTAGTAAAAATTCTAAGTGGTTCAGGCAGCGAACCGAACTTGAACCTGAACCCTGATACTGATATAAAAAAACCGGCCAAGTGCGTGTCGTGCCACGCGCAGAGAAGGGTTCCATAGTTGCCTGTCTTTGCCACAATATATTTGAGCAAGTCTTTTTTTCTGTATCAGAAATAAAAAAAAAATATTAAACTTATCTTAACTAAAATACCTAACTCAAAGTCAAACTGCATCTCAAACTCAAAACCGATATTATTATTTTTTTAAATACTTATAACCGCCGATCTTTTTATACTCATTACAAAAACGTAACGAAGCGCGATTCAGAAGCCGTTGACTTGGTACACGCGGTAGCTTTGTGGAAATTATAATATTTTATGGTGGATTTTAAATAGCTTTTTTTTTCAGATTTTGTTTTTCAATGCAAGGTACTAAAATAAATTCATCCTTGTCACTTACTGTTTTCTTCCAAGGAATTTTTAATAGGTAAGAAATTTTCTTTAACTAAAGTTGAACGACTATTACTCTCAAACTAACAAATCTATCTTAACCGTTATAATTTTCCTTAAAAGTTCATGAAAAGCACTATTATCATAAAAAAAATCAGGATTTTCAAGCTAATAGTTTAGCTTTTAGAAGAGGGGACGCCCTACTCGAACAAAAATTTACACTTAAAAAGTTCAATATTATGCATACGAATCCGTTTATAAAAAATAGTCTTAGGAACCCCAAAGTAATTTTCAAGGACCTATTCAACGATACCCCACCCAATAGGGTAGACGATGAAAAAATAAACATCTCCAGGTTACATGTAGGGGAGCTACCCTAAAAAATATTTTTCGAAATTTTATCGGGTGATTGATATACATATTATTATCTCCACAAAATTATAGCTCTAGTGCTAACAGTCTCCAAGCAAAACCGGGGATGGACATGAATAAACTAAAAGGGTAGAGAATAAAGACACGGGATAAATAGTAGGTACGTATTCACGTTTATCACGAAGACAAGATGTCCTGGATTCGAAACTAGAATTTGTGGAGTTCAAGGAGCAGCAAACCTTTTCTGCTGGTGCATCATCATCATCATCGTCACTAGCCTATTAATGTCCCCATTGCTGGGGCGCAAGCCTTCACATGGATGCAATAGGGAGATTGGGCTATGACCCACCACGCGGGCCCAGTGTGGATTGGGGGTGCTAACGACTGTAGATGCAGCCGGGACCAACGGCTTAACGTGCCTCCAAAGCACGGGGGAGCTCGAGATAATAAGATATGGTCACTCATCCAATGAGCGACCCTTGCGTTTGCTTAACTTCCACGATTGCAGGCTGAACGCGCCATCCACCTGCGCCATTGAGCTCTTCAAAGCTACTTAGTGTTAATAGATGACGCCCTTGAAACATAACTTGAAAAATAAAATTACCTTTACTTATTATGCGATGGAGATGATAAATTGATAATAATAAATTGGCACATTAGTCAACCTATTAACGCGATCAGAATTTGTACAAGTATCCTTATCAAGAGATATAAATTCATGCCTTATCTTTGGATAAAAGATATAGTTTTATTACTTAAATTTAAAGCAGTTGAGTTGGCGGATCAATCGCTAGCCGCTGTTTTTTTTGTGTTGTAAAATAAAAGCAGCACAAAATGGTAAGTAGTAGTATTTTTGTTTTACCTTTCAGATTTATTAGGGCTGATATTAATTTGTGTAAAGAGTAGGTAATGGAATTGGAATTCGCTCTCAATGATCTGTAGAGTTCGGTTTCCATTCCCATATTTACAAGTCTGTCTTCTCAGCGTCTATAGGTCTATAGGTAGGTACTAATTATAGAAGCTATGTACATATTTATTCAATTTACTATAATAGTTTTGAAAAACAGTAGTTTATCCGGAAGTTTATTTGTTAGGGGCTTGGGAACCCAGGATTTTTATTGGTTGGGAGTCTCTGGCGGACTCCCTCTGAACAAGCTGGGGAAGCTCTTGTCCCGAGGCGAGGCGATTACGTTACGATTTCGATTAGAGTGTATTGCATTAGGGTCGAGTTTCACTCAAAGAATACTGAACGGCTCGAGTTGATATGGTGACGATCCCTTTCCGAGTTGATATGTGTACTACGACCTTAACTAGGAAAATTAATAAAACTGTGGAGGGCGATAATTTGAATTTCCGCCCAAGAATGCGGTGATCAGAAGTCTATCTAGATATAGTCACTGATTTTTGGAATATGAAATACTTAATAGTGGGTGCCCGCGACTCTGCTTGCTTATATATTTTAAACATTTTTGACAATAATGTGTTTGGTCTGGTAAGATAAAGGGACCGTGGTACGTGTGGGCGCTGCTGGTGGCGGCGGCCATTGCCCAGGAACCTGTTACCTTGCAAGAGATGTTGAGTGGACAGTTCGGGCAACGGGGCTTCAACGGCAGTTGGATTTCAGGTAAACCGAAAATCGTCCAACGCAACGTGATGATAGTACATGCTATAAATACCTACCCCGTTCCTACATAAATGATCCTCTTTTCTTTAATGCCTTTTCTCACTCAATTTAATGCCTTTTCTCACTCAATCCAGCTCAAGGACTCTGTGAAATGAGCAGGGCCCTGCGGGTGCGTAACTAGTTGGAAATCGGGTGCCGCGACCACACCCGCATTCTCCGCACGCACCAGAGGACTGCGATCCTCATAGAGCGTGTCGGGTGACCGGTGCAGGAGTATTGGCTGATTGTTACTGGGTAGAGCCCTGCTCATTTCACCGAACTTTTAGGGCTGGGTTAAGTGAGTAGGGAGGAGTCCGCAGATACCTGTTGGGCTCCCCCGGTTAGCAAAGGATGCGGAAGTCATTTTCCGGACACAAGCACACAGACAATACTGCATCGATCCCTCGTCATGCACTACGAGGGCTAAGTGCCCAATGGGCGTGCTGAAAGTGCGGGTGGCACATTGGCCACTAAACGAGACCACTTTTGTCTTTGTCAAGCCACTAGACGTAGTCATTAATCGAATAGTGAGAAATCGAGTGGCTGCCACTAAACTACTGTTATTAGTGGCTAGTTAGTACTCGCCCGTAAATGAACCCTTATAATTTAGTTACTTTGAAATTTCGTAATTATGGTGTCATGTCTTTTCCCGGGACTCAAAGTATCTCCATTCCAAATTTTATCTAAATCGTATTTATAATATTAGTTTTGATATTTTGTGGAATATGGAGTACCTATGTTTGGTTGTGGATTTAGTCTGCTGGATAAAAGTTTCCCATAGAAAATTTTACCACGATTTTCATTCCTATATATTAATGGATGATTTTGGAATAAAAACTATCTCTATACTTACCAAATGTCATCTAAACCGGTAGCGGTCTAAGCATAAAGAGGTAACAGATAGACACAATTTTATTTATAATTATATGTAGTATGGATACTTACCTGTCGTTTAATTTCAGATACGAATTTCACATACACGATAGCGGGTCAGCCTGGAATCTATGCTTTTAATGTTGAAACCTTGACTAGCAGTGTTCTAGTTCCCGGAGATTTAATGGTATGAAGTAGTACTATTATTCTTCATCATTATCAACCTATTAAGGGAAAGATAGTCCCCACGGATGGAATAGGGAGATTGGGCCGTGACCTACCTACCACGCGGATCCAGTGCGGATTGCTGGGTGCTAAAGGCTGCAGATGCAGCCGGGACCAATGCTTAATGTTCCTTCTGAAGTACGAAGGAGCTGAAGATAATAAGTTTTCGGTCACCACCCAATGACCAATGACCGACCATTGCGAAAGTACGATCGCAGACCGAACGCACCAACTACCTGGATCATCGATATTGTACTAATTTCATTAAATTAATATAAGAAAAATAGGATTTCATCATCATCATCAATCTATTAAGAGAAAGAAAGTCCCCACGGATGGAATAGGGAGATTGGGCCGTGACCTACCTACCACGCAGGCCCAGTGCGTACTGCTGGTTGTTAACGGCTGCAGATGCAGCCGGGACCAACGCTTAATGTGCCTTCCGAAGTACGAAGGAGCTTAAGATAATAAGTTTTCGGTCACCACCCAATGATCAATGACCGACTATTGCGAAAGTACGATCGCAGACCGAACGCACCAACTACCTGGATCATCGATATTGTGCTAATTTCATTAAATTAATATAAGAAAGATAGGTCATAGCGTATTTTAATGATATCAACATAAATGTGTATTACGTTCAACCTTTTGACTTAAAACAGTACCTATCGCATAAACGTCAAAAATGTGATACAGGATATGATATTGATATGATTTTTATGTGACACAGGAATGTTTCATAATAAATACCATTTAAAAACAATGTTAACTTGGCATCAACATCATATTGACGGTACTGTATAATATATTTTATCAAAAGTAGACTTTATGAGATCCCGATGTATGTTATTGCGAAAGTTCGTTACCTACTTCGATCTTGCTAACCGTCGATGCACGCTGCAGCGAAGAATTGATTTTGCCCGGATAGCGGAGGGTGCGGGTTGGAGCCCCGTATGTTGCCTAGACCGCGTGGTTTTTGTCTAGTAACATTTCCTTTAGATTTATACATCTTACAGTTAAGTGCTTAAAGTAAATATAATAATAAACTACAATAGCTATTTCTTCTTTTATTTGTTTAATAAAATTGTAAAGGATATTCGTTAGATATTCTGGGTTACCTACAATGCGAAGAGATGGCGCTGCCATGCAGCCTTAGAAATTGGTACTAGAAGAAATTCGACCACCACGGCTATTAAGGTCACGGTAGCATAATTGGTTAGTGCATCCGCCCGCATAGCGGACGGTGTGGTTCGAGTCCCGTCTGCTGCCTGGAGCGCGTGGAACTTTTCTAGTAACATTTTCCATAGATTTGAACATGTAGCAGTTAAATGCTTGAAATAAATATAATAAACTCAGTTCGGTCCGATCTGTTGTTGAGAGTGGTCGCGCTTGTGCATTTATTTTTCGCAGAATAATAGTGTCATTGCAATCTCATCTTTTTGTGTGATACTAATTGGTGTATTATTGTTTGTGTTGCCGAATATATGAGTGAAAAGGGGCACCAGTGAAATTGCTACTTGTGTCCTTTTCTGGCATCGCATCACGCGGCTGTCACAGAGGGGAATACGTGCTTCACCTCCTCCAATTGAAGGACAAAACATATTTTTCTTATCCTTCGCACTCTTGACTTTCCCCTGCATTGGTGCAGCTCGAGAGTACCTACGTCATAATAATGGCATTGCAACATACTCCGCCAAATAAATGTTCATCAGATACAAATATACCGGTATCTGTTACTAATGAAGGCAATATCAATACCCGAAAACGTAAGCAGCCGGACCATGGAGATACGTGTACTATGGAAGATCTTAAACAATTTAATGAAAAGTTCAACCTGCAACTCTTAGCCTGGGACAAGAAATTTACGGACTCCATAACAAATAGCGTGTCGGCTGCGGTTACTGTTGCTATCACTAACGAATTGTCCAAAATAACAACATCGCTGGCAGAGTTGAACGAAAATATTAAGAAACTCACATCCGACAACATTAAAATTAATAAATGTTTGGAGAAGGTAGATACGCGCTTAACTGAGATTGAGAAATCGCAAGAATTCTCCTCTGATAGGCAAAATTCTTTCGATAACCGATTGAAGGAAATGGAAACGAGTATTATTGATACAAGTGAATTTGTGGATCAAATAAAGACATTAGAAAACAAGATATCCTTAATGGAACAGCAGGCTAGGCAAAATAATTTAGAAATATGTAACCTCCCAGAGCGCCGTGGGGAAAATTTAGTCAGTATGATGCAAAATCTTGGAAATGTTATCAAGCAACCAATTTGTTCAACAGATATTCTGGCTATTCATCGGGTACCCCACGCCGATCCACAAACGACACGTCCAAAAAATATAATAGTTAAATTGACATCAACAATACTACGTGACAATATTATCTCAGCCTGCCGTTTAGCTAAAAGAATGAATACCACTAAGTTGTCTATCAGCGGACCCGAAACAATTGTTTACGTAAATGAACACTTAACGTTAAGTAACAAAATTTTATTTCGTCAATCCCGTGAAGTTGCAAAGAAACATGATTACAAGTACGTGTGGGTCAAACACGGCGTCATCTTATTGCGCAAATCTGACACTTCACCAATTTTTGCAATTCGCTCGATGCAGGACATTTCTAAAATTAAGTAAAATATATGTTCCTGGAGACTTCTATGTTATGCATAATTTCTATATTTCATTTTTAATACTAAGGATGTGTATTTTTTGTATTGGGTGTGGTATACCTTTTTATAATATTTACTCGATTAAAAATCATAATAACTTGTGCAAAGTTTATGTTTTGTATGAGCTCTATAGTAAATTATTATTTTCTACTTGGCACAAGACATTTAAAAAATTAAAAAACTTTAATAAACGATCAATTTTTTGTGAATACTTAAATAAATCTGTATCTATCTCTTTGCCAATAATGAGTAACATTTATCTTATATGGGTTGTTGTTGTGAGCCATGAAGTTGCTGGAAAACATTATTATATTATATATAATTCATACGTCTATATTTTGTGTGGTTCTTATTGTGAAGGTATTGTGACTAACAACGGGGTGTACTTGTGTAAAAAACAAGCGAATATTTTATGTATCTTCTGCGCTCTTAACTTATTAACAATTAAATGTACTAAGTACCATCAATTTAATAAATATATCAATGAAATCTATATCCTAATACCGTTTTATTTCATACTATATTGTGTATCTTACCGTTTTAGAATTATTAAAATCATATGGAGCTGTTATATTTATACAACATGTAATGGATGTGTAATACGTAGGCAATATACACCAATACTATTATTATTCTGCATTAGAACAGTCTTGTGTATATTTATTCTAACCTATATATACCACACGGACTATTACATTATGCGCTTGTGTAATGTACTGTCAGCAATTATAACTTTATGTATAAAATCGTTATTTTTGTGGTATTCTGTTGGGAAATATACTCATATATTATACAATAAAATATATTATTTAATAATCATAAATATATTATTAACAACACTTTTAAGTTTTAAAGTTACAAATGACAGCGCAAAACCTTTATTTCTTTTAATTATTTTTACTACATTATTTTGGTACAATTCCACATGGGCACACATATATCCAATATAGGTTAATATATTTTTTTATTACTGTTTTATCTTTTATCCTTAATTATGGATAGGTTGTCAATGTATTACCAGAATTGTCGTGGATTGCGTACTAAATTGCATACAATATATATGAATATTTTGGCACATAATTACGACATAATTATTTTGAAGGAAACGTGGTTGCATGAAGAAATACATAATAATCAACTGGTGGATGAGCGTTATGAGGTATTTAGGAGCGATAGGGATCGTATAACGAGTGGGCGGCGTGACGGCGGCGGTGTGTTAGTGGCGGTGCGGCGCGAGCTCGGCGTAACACTGCTGACGCCGCCTGTCGGTGCACCCGCCTTTGGCTCACCACTTATTGATCATGTTCTACTTGAATTGAAGTCTTGTGACTGCTATTGGATGATCAGTGCTGCTTATATCCCTCCCAACACGAACCCAAGCTATTATAACTTACATTTTGATTATTTAACCTATGTAATACAGTTTACGAAAGCCAGCAATTATATTATAGCGGCAGATTATAATCTGCCGAATTTGGAATGGCAGGAACGTGACGATCACTTATTACCTGTTATTCAAAGTAGGTATACGCAATCTGAAAAAGCTTTGATAAATTTTATGTCGATTTTAAACTCATTTCAATTGAATAAATGTAAAAATGCTAATAACAGAATACTAGATTTAATTATTTCAAATATTTCGGGCACACATTTTGATGAAACTCCAATAGCTCTAGTGCCTGCTGATAAACATCACCCACCATTTTATATACTTTTTCCCACAAAGTACAATTTTTCGTGTATCAAAGCTTTGCCTAGGACGCAATTTCAATATGACAAAGGAGACTATAAATTAATAAATAAGGATATCTCCGATATAGACTGGGAGAGACTATTCCTTAACAAAACAGTTGAGACAGCGATTTCTATATTTTACGATCATATATATGCACTTATCAGAAAACACATACCTACTAGAATTGTTAAATCATCACAATATCCACGATGGTTCACTCGAGCATTGATACATATATACAAAAATAAAAAAAACTACTGGTTAAAATGGAAAAAATATGGAAACATCTCAGATTACGAAAACTTTTCCTTATTCAGAAAACGCTTTAAACATGCATCTCAGAAGTGCTATAAGGAGTATTTAACATTAGTTGATGATAGTATCACTAAAAACACAAAATATTTTTGGATATTTCTTAACAATAATAAAGGAAAGTCAGAGGTTCCCACAATTGTATCATACAGCGGCGTTACCGCTAACGAGCCAAAGGAGATATGCCGTCTTTTCTCCACCTTTTTTAAGTCGGTATTTGATGCTTCCAATGTACCAGATAACTTTGATATTGATAATATCCCTGAGTGCAACCATAAATCTGATCTTATATTGAGTACCCTGCAATTCTCGGAAGATACTGTTAGTAAAGTATTGAAAGAATTAAATACGACAAAAGGACCAGGAGTTGACAATATACCACCAGTTTTCCTTAAATTGACTGCCTCTACTGTACATAGGCCATTAATGTTACTTTTTAATAAGAGCCTAAAGGATGGTGTCGTACCTCTGATATTTAAAACTGCTCGTATCATTCCTGTTTTTAAGGGTGGTGATAAGTCTGATGTTGAATGTTACCGTCCTATATCTATACTCCCAGTGATAGCAAAAATTTTTGAGAGGTTAGTCCATAATGCCATTTATCCCTCGTTGCATAATAATATAATAGATAATCAACACGGCTTTGTTAAAAAACGATCTACAGTAACAAATCTTTTGCAATATGTATCATATTTATTTGACAGTTTAGATGATAATAAGCAGGTAGATAGTGTTTACACTGATATCCGAAAAGCTTTTGATAGGGTCGATCACAAGATACTTTTGGAAAAGTTGGCTTTTAATGGAATACGTGGTGACTTATGGCGCTGGTTTAAATCCTACATAACAAATCGTACTCAGAAAGTAGTGTTGAGTGGTTTTGAGTCTGACCTAATTCCAATTACATCTGGAGTACCGCAAGGGTCGATTTTGGGTCCTCTTCTTATAATGTTCATAAACGATATTGGTAGTTGTTTCAAATTCTGTGATTTTCTTCTTTACGCAGATGATTTAAAGATTTATCATACCATTGAACAAATCGATGACCACCTCAAAATACAGGAGGATCTTGATCGTTTCTCTGAGTACTGTACTAAGAACAATATTTTCCTTAGCTTGAATAAGTGTAAATCTATTACTTTTACAAAGAAAAAACACAAAAGTAGGTTTAGTTACAAGTTATCTGGAGTGCAATTGGAACATGTTCAATCTATAAAAGACCTAGGCGTTACTCTGGACAGTCAACTACACCTCGACGAGCACGTTGATAAAATCATAAATAAGGCCTTCAGAATGTATGGATTTGTAATGCGATCTAGCACTAACTTTACTCGCCACTCCACATACCTTTACTTATATAAGTCTTTAATCCGCTCTCAACTCGAATATGCTGTGCCTATCTGGAACCCTTTTTATAATAAATACATAGATGCTTTAGAAGCAGTACAGAGGAAGTTTTTGCGCTGTATGAATTACAAGTGTTACCGTAATAGATTGTCTTACGAGCAGCTCCTATGTAAGTATAAATGTATGAGTTTGAAAAATAGGCGTACATTTTTAGAATCAACAATATTGTATGACATATGTCACAACCGTTACGATAGTATTACGTTAACGAATAGATTAAGATATAAGGTACCCACCAGAACTCACTGTCGTAATACCTGTAAATTGTTTGCTATTGCCCGTTGTCGAACCAATGCTGGAAAAAGATGACCGTTCCATCGTATGACTAATACGTATAATAATTTATTTAATTCTTTGGATATGGCAACAGAAAACAAATATACATACGGAAAAGCTTTGCTTGAACTGCTACAAGCTTAACATCGCATCTCTCACATATTTGTCGGTCCATTTTTAGTTTACAATTTCTTTTTGTAATTTGCGGTAAACGTTGCTGGTGTCACAATTATGCATATAATGTATTATGAACAGTATTTAAAATGTATTGTGTCATTGTTTGTTTACAAAAACTTTAAATAATTCCTATTTGTATCATCGAATTTTGAGTAAGTAGTGTCGAGGTAACGAGCTATCGCAGTTACCTCTAACATTTCGCGCTCCATTTATATATATTTTTAATTTAAATATTTGACTTGTCTGAGGTATTAAGTTTATAAATTCATCAGATAAAATCTTTGCAGTTAAGTAATTACGTAGTAATTAAGTAGTATTATAATAAAGTATAAGTACTCTCATTGCTTCAACGACACCACATTTTTGATATACATATAGATTCGACCTGATATGTTGTCCCGCTATAAACAAATATGACGGCATGTTTGGAAATGCTGCCAGCTCGTTGTCTGCTACAGTTTCCCAGTTTCCGAACATGCCAGGTCTTTTTTTAAGGTATTTTTACAACCTATTTTATGTACTTCATTCGCTCTCAACTCCTTCATAAAAGACTACCTTATAAAAAGTGTTTATAATTAAATAATATTATTATAAGTACTTAAATGACTTGATTAAATCGTTAGAAGGTAGGTATTCATACAGTACCAATGTTTACAGGCTTTTCTCAACACATCCAATCCAGTCCTGTCCCCGGACGGCCGGTTCATTTTGGCATCCAGTGAAGTGGAACAAGTAAGTGTTACTTAAGTATTTAAAAAAGATTCATAATATTATACAAACATAAAGTTTATTCCTTAATAAAGACTTAGGATACTTTTTTCTCCGGTAAAATGTCAGGAATTCAGTCGCGGGCACGTTCTAGTCTATACTTATAATAAATCTGTAGAGATGTCAATTCTGTACATGAAATATATTTTTAAAATAACTATCAGGGGGTGATTAGTGATCGATACTGATGCCAAAAATGCAATCAGTAAATTTTTTGTCTGTCTTTCTGTCTGTCTGTCTGTGTGTATGTTCCTTATAGAAACAAAAACTACTCGACGGATTTTAACGAAACTTGGTACAATTATTCTTCATACTCCTGGGCAGGTTATAGTATACTTTTCATCACGCTACAATCAGTAGGAGCAGAGTAGTGAAGGGAAATGTTGGGAAAACGGGAGAAGTTACTCCATTTTTTAAGCTTCCGTCGCGTGTGCAGCCTTAATGATTAAAGTTACATAGAAATCATGTATGACGGAAATATTCTACATAAAATTGTCTAAAAAATATCCCGCAACAGCATATGTCTATCTTTTGTGGTTGACTCACAATAACACGTGTAACTCCCGATAGCTTAGCAGTTCGGAGCATTCTGATCATATTTGTTTACTCTTACGTTTATAATACTCGGTATAGAAACACCAAACTTATACATGAAATAAGCCATCGCGCCGTCGCACGTGAATACTGAATCATGCTATAAGGATTATTTTTGTGTAACGGTTGCCGCGCTCGACACGGGTCGCGACAGCGGTAGGGTATCAAAGGTCCGAGAGCGAGCTGTCTAAATCTGTTTTCTGCGTCGCTCCCCCCCTGGGGGACGATCGCTTCCGATGAAGCCTTAGAGGCCTTCCCGGCCAGATGCAGCCCCTACGGGTGTTTTTTAGTCAGTACGAGTCTGACATAACCTTGCAACCGGCTGTAGGGTATCCATGAGGATTTCTCATCTGCTCCCCGCCTGGGAGACCGAAACCGTGCTTATCAGCGCGACTTTTAGTCTTTAAATAGTTTATTTGAATTTCTTTTGTTGTTATTTTGTATAACAGGTATTAGTTGTTTTGGTAGTGTTTAAATATTCGTTCAAATTAAAAATTATTAAGCGTAGGTACTTTTATTAATTAAAGTAGTTATAAGTATTTATTTTTAAGTGAAGGAGGTATAGGTAGTTAGTATTGCACAGGCGTTTCAGCTTTATTTTCATTTCTTTTTTGTTGTGAGTTGTATATATTTCTGGTTATAATTCTATAAGAATATTTTAGTTCAAATAGTCACTTAGATTTTATGTGTAAGGTAGCTAAAGTTAGGACCACGTATTAGTTGTTTTGGTAGTGTTTAAATATTCGTTCAAAGTGTAATTTAATCATATAGGATGAATGTACGATGGCCCATCGAAAAGGAGTAGAAGCGGTAGACAGAACTTTAAGAGATATAAGACAAAATGATCGACCCATGGGCGGTATCACAGTTTTATTTTGTGGTGATTTCCGACAAATCTTAACGGTAATACCACGGGGAACCCGAGCTGCTGAGGTTAGGGCTTGCCTGAAAAGCTCTTATTTGTGGCGTGATATACAATCGGTGCATTTGACTATAAACATGCGAGTGAGAACTGTAGATAACCCGGATGATCGTGAATTTTCTGATATATTATTAAAGAAAATACCTTCACCAAAGATACCTATCCACTGCTACACCAAGGAAAACTTATTCTGACGCCTGAGTTATGTTGTATAGTGCAATCCCAACAACATCTTACATCGTCAGTTTACGGTGACGTAACCAATATATTAAATAAGAACAATTCTTGGCTATGCGAAAGGTCCATTTTAACTCCTCGCAATGACCAGGCATCTGAGATTAATAATAAAATACTGTCGAATATCCAGGGGGAACGCAAAGTTTATAGTTCAATAAATAGAATGGCCGATGAACAAGAAGCCACTAATTACCCGATAGAATTTTTAAATTCTTTAAATATGCCCGTACTTCCTTCTCATGAAATTTGTTTAAAAATTGGCATTCCGATTATTCTGCTCCGAAATTTAAGACCACCACAAATTTGCAATGGAACTCGGCTTAAAGTAACCCAGTTGCAACAAAATGTAATCGAGGCTCAAATTTTAATAGGTTGCGGTGCAGGAGAAACCATCTTTATTCCCAGAATTCCCATAATACCAAATAATTTTCCATTCAATTTAAAAGAACGCAATTCCCAGTATCGGTGTGTTATGCAATGACAATAAATAAGGCTCAAGGGCAGACCTTTCGTGTTGTTGGAGTAGATCTCGGTGTCAGTTGTTTTTCACATGGTCAGTTATGTCGGTCTTTCCCGGGTTAGCAGTCCTAGAATTTTTTATGTTCACGTTCCGGACGGGTCAAATTTCCACGTAGTCTACCCGGAAGCTTTGCGCTGAAGTATTTTCATTCTATATGTACTTAAGACTCATGTGAAAGCGATCTAAACAATATTACCAATACATTAACATAATAACATACAAGGAGTTACACGCTGATGGTCTCGGGGCACAGTGATAATAATAATATTCTGCGGTTCCTTATTGCGATATTTTTAACAGTATTATATTTCCCTACTAAAATACGAAAGTTAATCTGTCTGTCACATCAAAACCACGGAACCCTGAGGAAGGACATAACGCGGACGAAATCGCGGGCAAAAGCTAGTTTTAAATAAGAAACAGAACATACAGAATAAAAGTTTCGTATTTTTTTCCGTAATTACCTAGTGCTGTATCGATAACAATGCTAAGTCTACGTCCTACGATAAACAGTACTATTTTTTTTATAAACTAGTACGGTATTTATATTCATTTTTGCATTTGCCCTGGCCATGCGATGTCCAAAGTAAACAGTCGTCCATTACTTATTTAAAATAAATCTTATCTGTCTTTGATAGTTTCCGATAAAAAATTGTACTAGTGGCATAGTATCTTAAAGTCGTAAATTGTTGATTAGCTTTTATCACCGGTTAACAATAATGATTGCCGATTAATAAAAATATTGACTTGGACGTTTGCCGCCGTTTTTATCCGATTGCGCCAGGAGAGTTAGATTATTTGCGAGTATGTATGCAACTATGCAGGTACGTCTTTGTCAAGCCCTGTACCTAGATTCACTATTTAACGCCTTGAAATAATGGATTTTATTTGAGAGGTGTCGTAGATTCCTTAATATTTAGGTATATAAAAATTATAGAAAATGAAACTATATATTTTACTTTAATTTTAAAGTTGCCGCGAAAACGTTTTTCTGGACATTATGGCGTCTCACTAGTGTGTGACGTCACACGGCTGTCATTACAACGTTAAACGATACAATGTAATGTCACTTTGGCCGGAAGTTTACTAGCGTGTGACGTCATTTTAGTCTTGGTCAATCCCAGGCGTTTTCGGTCACGTTACCATGGAGCAAAAATCATTTCTATTTAATGGTTTTATAGAAAAGTTATTATTTATTTGTTCTTTCAAAATGGTAAAATAGCTGCTTATATTCATATTAAATACATATGGATTAATAAATCAATTCTTTAGACCACCACAAGCTACTTAATAATCTCCGCTATATTAACTCCCTCAATAAAATGACAAGACTGCCATATTTAGTGCCTTATAATCCTTACTCAAAAGTGAAATAAAAAGGTAAATTAAAAAAACAACAACACGACTGCTATAAAATTACTATCAATAAAAACTTAAAAATAAAACAAGCCCAGTAGTCTATTATTCTGTTAAGTAAGGAACAAAGGTACTTTGACAGTCGGGACCTATTACTGAAAAAAAAAATATAGAATATCTAATCAGTCCCGACTGCTGTAGCGAGTAGCTTTATTCCTTAACCACAGATTACTACAGTTACCCTTAACAGAATTATAAACCACTTGACTTGTTTTTTTCTTTTCAAGTTTTTATTGAAAGTAATTTTCAATCAGTCTGGTTTTGTTTTTTTTTTCAATAAAAATCAAAATAATAATAATTATTATATTTAATTATGCTTTCAGGTATACAGATATTCGAGGACTGCTAAATACACTCTATATGAAATCGAAACAGAGTAAGTTAATTTTTTTATTATTATTAAGTTAATATTAAATTATCGTTATTTATGGAAAGTGCCCATAAATAACGATATATGTACCCATGCCATGCCATGAGACTTATTGTGGCATGGGTCATCCGCAATGGTAGAATGCGCTTATGAGGTTCCTATTTTTTTCTTTTTGATTATCTGTTCATCTAAATCGGATTTTGTGCAAGACCAAGCAAACAAGTATTTTCCCTGATCCATGGAAGGAGGCTCGTGTCCCGAAAATCAATAATCCATTACCTGAAAGATCTTTGCCCGATTTCCATTCTTGTCAAAAATAATTGAGAAACTAGTGTGTCAACAAATTACTGAATATGTCAATTGAATTAATATTCTACCATCTAAACAATCTGGATTTCGGGCTAGTCATATTACAGCTACGGCTATGTTGGATGTAGTTGATGACACTCTTGCCGGACAAGATGCGGGACGAGGATCCATATAAGTTCTTCTTGATTTTTCACGCGCTTCATGGTTAATTGTGTCAAATTAACCATGATCTCCTTTTGTCCAAATTATCTTTTTATGGATTTGACAATCACGCTGTAAAATGGATTTCTAGTAATCTAAGTGGCTGCTCACAACGCGTTGTATTCACCAGTGATAGCGGAAATCGGATAATTTCGAGAGTTTATACTACCCCACCAATATAGAAGTTTCAAAATATCAGAACATAGCTAAGCAGATAAGTTTTTGTTCCCAGAAATTGGTTCCACGTAGCGGGCCATGCGAGGCTTCAGCTATGCATTTTCGGTGGTAATCATTCGCTAGCGTATGTGCTGGATAACAATCTTTATTATCTATCTGAAGACAACGAAACAATAGCCATCACTGATGACGGTATAGTCGGGGTCGTGTATAATGGGCACACAGACTGGGTGTACGAAGGTACGTTTTTTTTACATGAATTTGCCAATCGCATAGATTTTAAATATGTACTTCAGTCACTAATTAATAAGGTTGCTACAATAGTTTATGTTTTTAGCGCCTTTTGCGTCAATAATACTCGTGGATTAAATTTATGACTTTTATTTGAAGAAAAAAATAGCGCAAGTGCATATCGGACACTTGAATCTAATACGTTGGGGAAAAAGTCTTTTTGAATTATAGTATGTATGATCTTTTAATAAAATCTCTTTGGCTAAACCATTTGGACGACCTCCGTGGCCGAGTGGTTTGTACGCCGGGTTTCATGGCGTCGCCGACTCGAGAGGTCCCGGGTTCGTATCCCGGTGGGGGCAGATGTTTGTGTGATGAACACGAGCATTTGTACTCCAGCCATGGATGTTTAATATGTATTTCTATATAAATATACTTATATATGTAAAGTATATGTATTCTATCCGTTACCCTAGTATCCCATAACACAAGCCCTATAGTGCTTACTTTGGGGCTAGGCTAATTGGTGTGAGTGTATCTGGCTGGTTTTGGTATCATTAAAAATTTAAGGTTATAAAGAAGTTATTTCAAGATGAGTGAATCTAATGAAGATATTAGACACATTTTATTTTTTTTCTCCAAAAAAGGTAAAAATGCAACGCAAACCGCAAATGCTTATAGACCTAGTGCAGTGTTTGTGAATAGCACAAAGGAGATTGTTCAAATTGGCCCAAATGCACAAAAAATATTGACGTACACGGTAATTCTTGGCGTAATTTATAATTTAATTTACAGTCATTAGATTTCAACGGACACCTTTGTATAATATATTTACTTTAAAAAGGACTTTTCATTTTACCGGTTTGGAAAACATACGAGTAATTTTTAATGGCTATGGGTGTAGTAACATTCAGCCAAAGACTGATCGAAGTTGTTTATATAACATAAAAACAAATCTATTTTGTAAAGAACGATAAAATAAATAAGTTTTTTATTACACTGTGGTATTAATATCCACAACTATATTATCGTTTTCACTAGATGCAAATGTGCTTAGACAATTATTATAGATGGTAGGCGACATCATAAAGTCTATTGCCATACATTTTTCGCCAAACACCTCCATAACCACATTATAATCTGTATATATGTTAGACTTTAAGGTATCTATCTATGGGCCTATATTCCCTGACTGTAAATTAATAAATAAATAAAATTTCATATAAAATGCGAAGAATCTTTTTTCCCAACCTAATATTAGAAATTATTTCACAAATGGATTTCTTAATCGAAAATTCTATTTTCAACCTGCCACACTAGACTTAACATAATTGAGGAGCTGGCGAACAGAACGGTATAATTCCGCATTTGGTCAAAATATATTTTTTTACAAGTTTTGGGCTTGCTGAATTTGAATCTTACTTCAATCAAAACCGCCTAAAACAGTGTTAAAGTTACTTAATTAATAAATAAAAAACAACACCAAAAGCTCACTGCAGGTGGCAAATTTAATTTTATGTAATTACACCGTTTTGTACGCCTGCTCCTCAGTTTAGAAATTTTGGGTGAGTTTAAAATACTAAAGATGCGCTAACTCGTTCTACTTCACCATGGTGAAAATACACTTACAGAGGACGTCATGTACACGGGTCAGGCCACGTGGTTTTCTCCCGACGGCAATTATTTGGCGTTCGCCAGCTTCAATGACACGGAAGTGGGGACCTACTCGTATTACTATTATGAGGACAAGAGCGACCCTGACGATTTGTATCCTGAACTCGTGAACCTTAAATATCCCAAGGTAAGCTGGTACCAAGGAACACAGAAAGAGATTCGTTGGGTGAAACTGATGGTTTTCGCTGCATCAGTTTGTGAATAAGATAAGTCAAAGACCTTCATGACAAAGTGAGGAATAGACACGGCTTTCTTCTACATAAGTATGAGAGTAGAAGAGATAGATGAAGGTATAACGTACTCTTACTGAGTAAACACCAACTTTGGTCTAAGTAAGACCTTCAGTCCCAGGCCTCACTGGGTTCTCAGATCTTCCTCCGTCTTTTTTCCTTTCGTGTTTCCTTTTGAAGAAGTTTAGGGACATCATCATGTTCATCACTAGTCTATTAATGCCCCCACTGCTGAGGCACAGGCCTTCTCTGTAGAATGCATAGACTTTGCCCACCAAATGGGCATAGTACAAAATGGTAGGTGCTAATAGCTTTACGTGCCTTCCGAAGCCCAGAGGAGCTCGAGATGATGATTTTTAGGTTACCCAATCCATATCTATCCTTAAGTTGCTTATCATTCACGATCAAATCGAAAGCGCCTCTGCGCTATCGAGCTCCTCGACTTGCGACAAATTTGTTTTATTTTATTCGGGTGTTAATAGCATAATTTACAACAAAAACATAGAAATATAAAATTATTAGGTAAAAACATGCTTTCGCGCACAGGAGACTAACTTTTTACACATCATATGGTACCTTCACCTATTAATAAAAGACTACCTGATTTCCAGTAGGTATAATGCGAGTCAAGCTTGTTGGCGGTTGTGAAGTTAGCAATTATGCGCAGTACATGAAAGGGAAACCCCTACAGTGAAACCCTGCGCGCACAGCGATCATCCTACCTCACTGCATCGTGACTTGCGATAACTTCACAGCCGCCATTAAGTTTTGATCGCACTTTACAAATAGGTTTGACTTGCTTTGTTTTGGCACCAAAAAGATACACGTTATATATAATAACTACCAGATCCGGCGTACTTCGTACCGCTTACAATAATTTGGAAGAAATGAAAGCATTCCGTCCGACGGGAACACAGCTTTTACCATAGTTAGAAATTGTATGTAGAAATCTTTTGTAGATTGATCGTTCTGCAAGGTAACTATCATATTTACTGCCAGTTGAAAATTTGTTACATGGCGCTACAAATTGATTAATAGGAACAAATTGATCAAGCCCTTATTTCATTGGTAGTAGTCGATCTGGGAATAACTGTCACTGTTTGGCGGAAATCTTAATACAGAAAATCATTCCGGCCCTCAAAAAAAATTAAATCATTTTATTCCAGAAGAAGCAACTGCTACCCCAATGTTAGATTTCTCATGAACAGTGGCCAAATGCAATTCTATTTAAATGTCTTCAGAGTTCTACCGATTCCATATTAGAATAATAAGCCGCGAATCAATAGATCCATGGCCTACCCACCGTAACGACGAACGTTTGTGTCATAGCATCTTGCTCATGTTCATAATGACGCCGACTATCACTTTGCATGCGTCGGTGGGAGTATGGTCAATTGACAACCTTTAGCTGCATCTCCATTATTTGCATCACGTAATTATACTCTTCGAACGCAGCTTGGTTTGGTTCATTTAACTGATTGAAAGTAAGGTGTTGCGTTTCGATTTTGACGCAAGCGACAAAACCGAAATCGATTGGGTATTGGCGTTTTGACGAATTATCCAACAATAATTATGCTTGGTAATTTATTGAGCAAAACTTTTCAGTAGTATTCTGACCTGAAATGAATTCAGTAGTAAATTTGTATGCTAGAACTAAAATTCACGTCCGTATACCATGAGCGAGTGGACGAAGCTGTGTGTGATCACTATATCGTCAAAGGTTACTTAAGCATCATTTTCAAGGGTTTGAAATTGGTTTCTAGGTCTTTCCCCAATAGGTAATAAAAGTAGGTAATACAAAGATAGTCAATCCCTTAGTCGACCTTTACGACTTAATGGGAAATTAAGAGTAGTTTCATTTTATGGAAATCTGTCATGTAGAAATTATAATTGAGGAGCTGGCGAACAAAACGATATAATAACATAAAATTATATTTTACAGGAGCTGTATAAAACTGAATAACATACCTCCAGCGAGCTTTTGGCATGGTTTTTAATTTATAAATTTAGTAATTTTAATACTGTTTTAGGCGGTTATGATTGAAAATTTATTGAGATTCAAATTTAACTGGCCTAAAACCTCCAGACTGTAAAAAAAAGTAGTTTTGTTTCTGTAAAAAAAAGTTGTAAGTTACCGTTTTGTTCGCCAGATCTATGATATTGATACTTGTCGTATTCCGCCTGTCTCCTTGCCATAACATAAGTATAATTTCTGCCGCTTTAGATTTGATTATGCTATTTTCCTGCAATTTTTGTAACATTTCTTATAAATCTAGTAGGTATATCACTGATTTCGAGTGAAAGTTGTTAATGCCAAACAGCTCAACTTACTCATGCGTGACTTGACTGATAAGATGAAAGATGGCAATGATAGATGATATTAAAAAATATCATTGGGTAGATGGCGGAATAACAAACTTTATTTTAAAAATATTTCTTGCATACATTTTTTTTTCGCGAATCTTTGATTTTTTTCTTTTATACAAAGTTTGTCCTGACTATAACAAACACAATAAAATAATAATAATCTAATTTGGTTTAGTCGTTCGGAAGTGATGCGCATACATACTTTGCAACGTTTCATTTTTATATAATATCATTTCAGGTCGGCACAACCAATCCTACTGTTACACTGCGCGTGGTTAATCTAGCCCAGACGACTAGTGACGATATCCAGTCTGTTACTTTAGAAGCACCCACCGAAGTGACCGAAGACCATATACTTGGGGGGGTCACGTGGCCGACTCAGAACGAGGTGGCTGCTCATTGGCTCAATAGGAGACAGAACTTCACCGTTTTCAGGATTTGCGATGTTACCAACACGAATTGTGTGGTGAGTTGTATTTGAGATACGGAGGTTGCGTTTGCATTTATAGAGTTCTGCTAGTTTTGTTCTAGATATATCTAGCTCACAGAGGTATTAGGCACCTTACGCACTAGACGGAAACGACCACGGCCAAGCAAGTCCGGCGCCGCGCCGCTGCCGCAACGTATCGTGTGCTCATGCTCTAAGGAAACCATACGAACGTCGCGAACTACCAAAATTATCCTGGAACGCGATTTTCTATTGTAATATGGACTTATTAAACCTTCATGATGGTATTGGTTTTTGCTACTGCGCTATTAACAGTATAAATGAGTGCTGTTTTTACTTAAGTATTATAGTTTAGTCCGATATTTTGCAATTACATCGGTATATAGGATCATATTTCGAGGCTACCACTAAATATACAACTCCTATAAAAGCATGGAACTAGAGTAATTGCACCTAGGAGTAATTACTCCGCTAACATCATAAAGCCATTCAAGTATCAGACTCCTCTAGCAACATCTACCAGAGGATAGGATACACTGAGGGCCAATCACTCTAGTTAATTTTAATTATAACCTACCTTTGGTTGTACAATATATTGTATTAAGTTCTAGATATTCCCGTCAGCTTTTTTCGAATAGTGTTGTAATTGAATGATATAGAGAATATGTGTTTTCAGATTTCATAAATTTTAAAAGAACATTGCATGATTCACAAAGAATAATATATATCAGTAATATATTATTTTTCTTGTATATACCTAATTTATACTACAGTAAATATATTTGGAGTCAGTGTCAAGCCTATCAAATAGATGTTGTAGTTTACTATTCAAGTTATAAGCGTTCAAAAAACGACGAAGCGTTTCGAGAAAAAGTAGGTAGTCATGTTCGTTTGGCTCATCTTGTCTTGGCGGGGGCACTGCTGTGCCCCCAGATTATTTCTTAACTTTTAGTGGGTTTCTTATAATCAATTCGCCTTCATACACGTTAGATACCCATCTACAAATAAATGTAAAAAACCTAATATTCATAAATTTTGCAGCAAGAAATCCGGTCGGAACCCAACGGGTGGGTGCCAATCGCACTACCGCGTTTCAGCCGCGACGGTTCCTTCTATATGCAGCTGCGTTGGTCTGAGCGTCAGCCTTCGGGCTATATATGGCAACACTTGTTTCGAATCCAGAGGACCGCTGACGATTTCAATTCAAGCTCGCTGACTCCAGGTGATTTCACTGTGAACAATTACGTCGGCATGGATGAAGATAATGATGCTTTGTGAGTATTTTTCATTTAACGTGCCAATTTAGCCCACCACAAAAGAAAGGTTTGTAACTTCATTGTTATACTTATTGGTGGGCAATGTACGTAGACCACCACATACTTTAGGCATTGACGTATAAAAACATGTAAACTTCCAATCGCCCACAAAAGTGCACCATAAAACGTCCTAGCGGCGCTGCGTTATAGGTACATATACATCAACTAATACAGATAACATTTACACATTTTTTCTACTGAACACGTTATATCCTGCCAGTAAGGTCCAATTTCAATTGCATACGAGAGAGAAAGAGAGAGTTCGATTACGGTGCGAGACTTACAGGCTGTTGTAGCTATTAAAATGTAATTAAGTTATTATAGGTACTTTAGTAAACGCCAAATTAGTTGCATAGTTGTGTTTTTTTAAAAGGGACACTTACCTGAAATACGATACTCTAATTTGCCCAGTTTTTTAGGGAAAACTTCATTGCGTGGCATTGTAATCACAGCGCGGTCAAAACAAGACTTTGGAAATTATGCGCAATAGACGTGTGTTTGTATTTCGTTCCGATACTTTTTAATAAGCAATAAATTGTGAGTCTACTTGTTTTTGTACGTTTGTACGACTTGGTTTTAGTTTCTTCGTTAATGATCACATAGGGGTATCTCACACTGATCTATATTTTCATCATACTTGGATCGTAGTATCACAAGTTGTACCGGTGATACTGCGATACGGCACTGTCAATAATGTCATGATATATATCGTGATATCATCGACAGTGTAATATGTCCAATAAAGAATGCGCTACTTTGTGTCTGTCCAGCTACTACACTCGGACAGTGACGGGTCAGCCGTGGCAGACGCAATTGCGTCGTCTTTCTGGTGGTAACGATATTTGCTTGAGCTGCGTAATCGTGATGCCTGAAAGAGGACAATGTACTTGGGCCACCGCTACATTAAGCCAATCCGGCCGTTACATGAGTGTCACCTGTTCTTCGCCTACTGAGCCTTCAGCCACTTTCCTTCTGGAACCTTTGGTAAGTCAAGACGCATTCAAACAAAAAAATATAGTGCGATGCAAACTTAGTGACGATTGTGAAGTTAGCGCAAGTTTATTTATTTATATATTCCTAAACACAGGGCCGTATTTAGGGTAAGGCAGGCGGGGCTGTGGCCCAGGGCTCTCACAAGAGAGGGCCTCCCACAACATATAAAAAAATAACTGAATTTCGACGAGTCACTAACAAGAAGGGAGAGGGGCTACACATTCGTTGCCCCAGGGCTTCACTTTTCAGTTAAAATCACTCAGTCGCGGTGCAGAACACGAAATGTAGGATGAAGTAAGCGCGCAAGATATTGCTGAACTGAAACTGTAGTTGCAGTTGTTGCTAACTTCACAGCCGCCAAGAAGTTTGAATCACACTCTACTCGACTTTCTCAATCATAATTTCACACAAAACTTATAATACCCCGTTTAGATTATGCCCATGCCTCTGCCCCTCGCGTTGCCGGCAATAATTCCCTTAATATTGCTGCGGCATGATTGAGAGTAGTATGTGTTTACATACTGCCCTACCTCTCACTTCGCTTCAAAGTTACGGCAATGGCAGACGTCGGAGTAATTACAGCGGCCGCGCTGTGTCTTTTTGTAATCCATAATTATGTTCGAAATTTAAATAATTAATGACTTTAATATAAATAAATATTAATTTATAATAAATATTTAATTAATTAGGGAAGGCCTGAGCCCCAGCAGTGGGGACATTAATAGGCTGATGATGATGATTTAATTAATTAATGAGGAGCTCCATGGCGCAGGTGGTTAGCGCGTTCGGCTGCGATCGTTGTAGTTAAGCAACTTTCGCAGTGGTCGGTCATTGGATGGGTGACCAAAAATTTCTATCTCGTGTTCCTCCGTGCTTCGGAAGGCACGTTAAGCCGTTGGTACCGGTTGCATCTGCAATCGTTAGAACCCGCCAATCCGCACTGGGCCCGTGTGGTGGGTCATGGCCCAATCTCCCTATTCCATCCATAGGGAAGGCCTGTACCCCAGCAGTGGGGACATAAAGAGGCTCATCATGATGATGATGATGATAATAATAATATAATAATAGTCATTTATTTTCGGATAACAAAGATCCATAGTAATGATTTAATTAATTAATATTTTTTGATTTCACGTCTTTCTCCACCAAGCGCATGGCAGGATCTAAGCGACGCGCAGAATGTGAACACGCATTGCCACTCGCGCTGCCGGTCCTTTGACTTCCGCACAAAAAACCGCTCTTTTGGGGAGCGCCGGGCAGCGCGAGTGGCAATGGCAGAGGCATGACGAGTATCGTGTTTACATACTCGTCATGCCCACTTCCCTCCTTTCTCGCGCTGCATGTAAACGAGGTATAAGGTAATTTAATTTTCTGTGTTTTGCAAACAATCAAGACAAAAGTTTCATAAGTTTTTTTTGTCTTTGAAGTAGTCTGGGTGTTATCGTTGTTTTCCATTTTCGTACCGCATTTTTAAATTATGTTACATCGTGCGCGGGCATAGAAAGTGGAATTCTTTGCCTGCGTACGTGTTCTCTCCTTTCTACAATCTGGGGACCTTAAAAAGAGACGTAAAGAAGCATTTCTGCATGCCGGCAAGGTGAGGATGGTTGGTGTGGCGTATATCATTGCTGCACCAGCTATCTTCGCGTCTGGACTTTCCCACCACTTAACATCAGGTGGGGTAGAGTCATTTGCCTATAAAAAAATATCTTGTATAACTGAAACTCACTCCAACGAAGAAATAAATTAAAAATTTAAAAAATCAAAAAACCCGACTGCTTAATTATACTTCAAATAAAAACTGAAAAGAGAAAAACAAGTCCAGTAGTCTATAATTCTGTTAATAAGGAACAAAGCTACTTTAACAGTCGGGACCCATTAGACATTCAAGAATACATAATATTTTTCAACAGTGGGTCCCGACTGTTAAAGTAGCTTTGTTCCTTATTAACAGAATTATAGACTACTGGACTTGTTTTTCTCTTTTCAGTTTTTATTTGAAGTATAATTAAGCAGTCGGGTTTTTTGATTTTTTAAATTTACCTATTTTATTTCACACTTTTTAGTTAGTTAGTATTTTAATATCGTATATACCGTAGTCTTGTTACTTCAGTAAGGGAATTAATATCGCGGGAATTATTAAGTACGTCGGTCTAAAAGATTGATTTATTAAGACATATAGAGACTTTACTAGCGGGGTCAAGGCTACAGATGGGCCTCAATTTTCGCAAAAATGTGTGAAGTTAAATCAAGTCGTTATATAAATATCTCTAATGTATGTAAATTTTATAGTAAACTAGCACTTACTCAAAAAGTCATCTTTTGTTAATGTTTTTTTTAATAGTTTAGCAGTAAATATAAAATTCATTTACTTTTATTCGTCGACTATTTAAAATTGGCAGTGGCTGCATTGTCATGTCAATGCCGGACGTCTAAGATTGTGATATACACAAATGCAGTATCAGTCCCTTGTCTCATAATTTGATATAGCTACATAATTCACAGAAACCTAATATGTAGAACCCAGAAGTTACTTCAAATGTTTTTAATCACCCTTTATACAATACCAATCAATGACGTTTATGTCGCAGGTTGAAGAAAGCAGTAATTCCCGTTTGTTGTTTTGGACAATGGTGGCAACTGCCTTAGATCACTAAATTAAATAATTATGCAATCACCAAAGCAAAGTATATAATATTTGATTAAACTAAAGGCGCATAATAAAATTTTCATGACGTTAGGTAGAGCACCATAGCAATCTCATTTATCATCAATTTATAGTTCTCTTTGTAGTTTTCTTTTAAAGATACCGAATAACGTATCATTGTTAAGCACAAATGCTAAGTAACTTTTACAAATATAATCAAATAAACCTATTACTTACTTTGTTCTTAAATCTTTTTCATCAATTAAATACTTATCATATCCTAACTATATATACTAATATTATAAAGAGGCAAGATTTGTATGTTTGTAACAAATAATCTGTCAAACTACTGAACCGGTTTCAAATATTAATTCATCATAAGGTTGCTACATTATTTATTATTACATTTTTCTTTATTTAAATACATTTTGTCCGAGTAACATAGGCTATATTTCATCCCGATAAATAAATTTCGCCCGTACAATGCCCGGGTGGATCACTAGTAAGTATAATATAATATTATAGATGTGAAAGTGAGTTTGTTTGTTGCGCTTCCGTGCCCTAATAGCTAAATCGAATATAATGAATTCCCATATAGAAGTAGATGGGAACTTGGTTCTTAGCTACAACATCGCAATACTTATAGGCGTAGGGTGATGAAAGGGGTGATTTACCTATAAAAATCTACATTATTTACTTTGAATTTTGTAGAATTATTACAAAACCAATATTATCGCGAGCTGATTAATAATATAGGGATTCCAATAAGTATGTATTTACGAGCGAGAAATGGGTTATTTGTCATTATAGTAAACCTTTTTTGTAACATTAAGTAATATCGTTAAAAAAATGAAAAACAGTAAAATTCAGAGTTTTTCATTAAAATTCAATAATTATAAATACCTGTTATGATAATATATTTATGATAATAAGAAGGAACTGTATCACAGTATTATTGTTAGTGCTTCGTATAGGATCAGATATAGCGAATAACCCATTTTTTTCTTTTACATAGTACATCGCGCTATCACTTTGTCATCATTGTAACTTTTTAAATATTTGTCGAAATGACATAGTGTAAAAAGCAAAGGTTATCGTCTTTAAATATCAAAAGACAAAATGTGCATTTTGGAAATAGATCTCAAATAATATTTTAGTTTTGATTCACTATTTAAGCGGTAATGACTTACACATTAAAAATAGATATATGGTGTCACGGACTTTTTTTTAGAACTATTTAAGAGATACATTTTCAATCTACATTACATTCATATAACTTTTATTGTCTTTGCAGTGCAGGCCAAAATGGCTGGCAGATGGGAGATTTTTTCCGTCTTATGTGACACTTATTGTTATATATTTGCCAATTCACTCAATGACTACATAAATTATTATATATATGTAATTATCATATATGAGCTATATTACTGTTAAGTTTCATTAAAATCCATTCAGTATTTTTTTAGGTGAAAGAGTAACAAAGATCCATACAAATGTAAGATTGAAATTAAAAGCGCAAGTGGTTAATATACAACTTTAAAGCGTTGTAGATCCTAAACAATCATATTAAATGAAAAATGGTGTTAGGAACCTAAATATGATTTTTGATTATCTAGACAGTGATACCCCACTCGACATATTTTGTCAACTTATTTTTTTTACTTCGTCACAATATGGCGCCTAATTTTGGCCATATTGAATTTTGATTACTATCATATCTTTAGTAGCACTCCCATGATTGAGACGAATCGATTGATGTATGAATCATCAAAATCGGTTCAGGCGTTTGGTCTCTAGTGTGCCACAAAGGAACAAACATACATATATAGACTGTTAAACACATAACCCTGTCTGCGCGTCGCGCTTCGCGCTCTTGCATTGCGCAGCCGGGTAAAAATGATCACGAGCGGAAATTTTGTCCTTCTTGCACCTCATCCGTGGAAAAGTGTGCAAAGTCATTTTCGAGCAAAACGGACATAATCTCTTGCTTTGCTTTGTCATTTCCGATGCGATTCTTTTTGTTGTAATATAAAATTGTTCCTAGAACGACGTCGAACCTGTTCGATACACATGGGAGGACAACAGCGTAGTTCGCGAACGCCTCGTAAACAAGACTAGACCGCAGAGCATAATAACGACAGTGCCCCTGGAGAGCGGCCACCCCGCCCCAGTGCGCCTCCATCTGCCGCCCGGGCTGGACGTCAACGACACCGACACGAAATACTCGCTAGTATACTATGTCTACTCGGGCCCGAATACAAACACAGTCTTCGATACCTTCACTGTTGGTAAGTACTTAGAATAGAGGTTTTATTAGCTCGCGTTCGCCCCCAGAATTAGACCAGACCTTAGCGAAAAATAATGACAGTATCCTGGAGTTTATTTTCACCTGTCGTCTGGGCTGGACGTCAACGACACCAAATACTCGCTCGTCTACTATGTCTACTCTGGCCCGAATACAAACACAGTCTTCGATACCTTCACTTTTGGTGACTGTTTAGTATGTAGGTTTTATTAGTCCGCGTTCGCCCCCAGAAGTAGACCAGACCGTAGGCAATAATAATGACAGTATTCTGGAGTTTATTTCCACCTGCCGCCTGGGCTGGATGTCAACGATCTTAACACGAAATACTCGCTCGTCTACTATGTCTATTCTGGCCCGAATACAACATAGTCATCGATACCTTCACTGTTGGTGAGTGCTTAGAATAGAGGTTTTATTAGCCCGCCATCGCCTACAGAACTAGACCAGACCGTAGGGAATAATAACGACAGCATCCTGGAGTTTATTTTCGCATGCCGCCCGAGCTGGGTGTCATAATAAATAGTGTGATTCACACTTTATGGCGACTGTGAAGTTAGCAACGAGCGCAACTATGCACAGGTCATTTAGTTCAGCGATATTCAGCGCGGGTTAGCATCATGCTACATTTCGTTTATTGCGCCGTGACTTGCGATTACTTCACAGTCCCCATTAACTTCGAATCTCATTTTAATAACGACAACCACCTTCCGAATACAAAATACTTGCTCGTCTACTACTTCTACTCTGGTCTTAACACTAACTGAAATTGGCAACTTCTCTAGAAAAAGAGAATACGATGGTGCAGCCGACACGTAAATGTATACACTTATCTGTTTTTACTGGCGCGAAATATACAAGTCATTGTTTTCCTTCAAGGATATCACACCGTTTTGACAACCAACCACAACACAATTTACTTGATTGCGGACGGGCGTGGCGCTGGTCTCAACGGCCAAGACATTCTGTACTCGCTCAATAACAAACTCGGCACCGTAGAAATAGAAGACCATTTCGTCATACTCAGGTAGCTATACAAAACTAATTTCTCAGCCAGAGGTCCAAGCACGAACTTGGACAGCCCCCTAATCGTATCACATTATCAGTTTCTATATTTCTATGAACACTTAGCAGGGGCCCTACCGGACGTGAGAACAAACTGGCTTCTTCCATACAAAATTTGACAATGACGATATGATTAGGAATCGTTCAAAGTTCGCCTCTGATTATGTAACCTTCACAGCCGTTTTCAAATCAAGAGACTTCAATCAGCTTTTATGTCTTAAAGTTGCTGCTGTCACTTTCTTTGCGATAGTACTAGAGAATATAACGACACAAGGTGAGGATGGCTGGAGCGGCACAGCTTCTGCCGCATCATCTATCTCCGCGACTGGACTTCACTTACACTTAAAATTAGGTGGCGCGGGGTAAATTGTTTTCAACTCGTATAAAATAAACGGAGGGCACACGTGCCAGGGCACGTTTAGTTTACTATTGTGGACAGTCCGATAGAGAAACGAGTCACCAAATCTCTCTCTCTTCGCGTTGAATCAGTATAGTGCGATTCAAACTTAATGGCAGCAGTGCCGTTAGCGCAAGTTGTAGCGCAGTAATCAAAATGTTGAATGAAGTAAGCGCGAGCGGAAGTCCCTGAATTGAAACCGCATAGTTGCGCTCGTTGCTAAGTTCCATAAAGGTGAATCGCACTATACAAGAGGTTTACTATGTTTTAATTATAAGCATCAAATGAATCGTACTCATAGACATAGCAAATAGACTGAGCGACACTAGAATGAAAATAGCAAGATCGAAAGTATGTCTATTTTATAATCGCACTATAGTCGCAGTTGGTATCTATCAACTAACCAATATATGATATTCACAGGCAAGTGTTGGATCGGTATAAGTTCATAAATGAGTCTCGTGTAGCGATCTGGGGCCACAGTTACGGTGGTTATGCTACGTTGTTGACTCTTCTGCATGACGACGACCATATGTTCCAATGCGGAGTCTCTGGGGCACCTGTAACCTCCTGGCTGTATTACAGTGAGTTAATATTATCTAAATTTTAATTAAAATAAAAAGAAACTTCTAGTCCCAATTCAAATACAAAAAACTCTAGTTACACGTCCTCTAGGAACTTACAATGCTCATTGATAAGTTTAACAATAATATTGAGCCGGAAGCGTGGCTCAATATGTTTGTTACTTATCGTAGTTAATCTAAAGAAAATTTTACTAGAAAAAAAATTACGCGGGTCAGGCAGCAGACGACACTCGAACCCGCACCCTCTGCTATCCGGGCGGATGGAATGCCCATTATGCTACCGCGGTCCTTATTGTCCGTGTCGAATTTTCTCTAGTACTTCTTAGGCTGCACTGTAGGTAACCCACAATGTCAAATAAATACCTTTACAAATATTAAACATTGAAAAGATTTTCTTTAGATGAAACATCTAGCTTCTTAAAATAATTACCTTAGTTATTTCCTGTACCGTTATAGGTAGAGACAATTTGAAATTTACATTTAATATGTATTGCGATAACTACAGAAGGACAATAATAGAACAAAATATTCATATAAAATCGAAGAGAGCCTATAAAGAATAACCAAATCATATGAGCTGATACAAAATTATAAAACAGGACAGGTTGAAACTAAGAGCAAGTAATATATATAAAATTGTTCTACCACATTTTATAGAGACATATAAGTACCCACAATTTGATACATAGCTAACACTATCGAGCTAACAAACAAAACCTATGATGAGGAACACATTATGGAAATTAGTAAACAAGAAAATAAACTACTATTTATTGCTTTAATGATAGAATTTTATAACTATGTTTTATTTATACCACAGACACGATGTACACTGAGCGTTACATGGGACTTCCCACCGAGGAAGATAATCTGTCCGGGTACCAGGAAGGCGATGTGACGTTACTCGCGGAGAAACTGCGCGGCCACGACTTCTACGTCATGCACGGGAACGCCGACGACAACGTGCACTATCAGAACGCTGCGTTGCTACACAAAGCACTGGCGGAATTGAATATACCCTTTCAACAAATGGTGAGTACTGGAAATAAAGAAATATATTTATTTTAAATAAAAAGGTTTTCCAATATTTTACGTCATGCACGGGAACACCGACCGTTCGAGGAGTAAGTTTTTTATTTTTTTATGTAAAAATGCTTTCCAAAGATTGGAATCCATTTTTACATAAAAAAAAAGACCAAAAATAACCTTATATCGCTAACGCTGCGGAAGTCATTGTTCATCACATTAGAGCAAAGCGATGTAGCAAAGTTTTATAGAGAACATAAATATCTACAATAAAGTCTGCGATATCATATGTCTAACTTTTACAGTTATGTCACAACTGAAGGTTTCACCCGCATTAATTTGAGGAAAAAAGTTATACTGAGTCAAACTTAAAAGACGCTGTTGCGGACTTTTTTATAGAACTTTTAAAGGGTAACAATTCTGTCATACATGATTTTTGTGTAACTTTAATCATTTACGTACGCAACGGAATCTCCGAAATATAATATTTTTACTAGTTTTTGCAACATAGTTAAGCTTTCCTCAATAAACGCACTATTTAACACAAAAAGATTTTTTTAAATCTGACCATTATTAGTTCCTGAGATTTGCACGTTCAACCAAAAAAATGGTGCATTCGGTACAACGGGACCTAAACTACGCAACATAATTTTCACAATCTGTTAAATAAGTTTTCATGGAAGGTTTATAATTATATAAAGAAATTCACTGTGTATAATACAAGCCTGACAACAAAAACTATAGTCTACACTACAGCTCTACACCGAAGCGAGGACAGGCCACTAATCCGATATAAAAAAATAAAAGAAAGCGACAATACACGAGATATAATGTTTACTGGGTTATTTACTCGACTTTCATACAAACAATTATGTATTGATTGTATTTCAAATATCAACCTTGAACGATGTGGCAGGGTTCCTTACCGTCGTACAAGATTTGGTTTGGTTTTCTTTAGTTTTTTTTGTGATTGGAGTAAATTTTCTTGTTCACAGTCATACCCCGATGAAGCTCACAGTTTGGCTGGAGTGAATATGCATCGATACAACGCTATGAATCGATACTGGCAGCAGTGCATCGGGATGCCTGAAGCATTACAACAATAGTCACGTTATGACAACAAAATACAAAGAAATTTGATAAGTTCTAATAAAATTTATGACCAAATTTTTCCTTTTTCATTACGTGCGCTTATCATTCATTACAAAAACCAGTCGTCCAAATAGGTGGAACAAATAAGAAATCAAATACTCTATTTTAGTTACAGAACATAGTTATTGTTATATATTCGTATTTAATCTTTATTGCCCCAAATATAGAAATGGACAAAAAGAGGACTTAAAGCTGCTTTCTTGCATTTGCATTCTCTGCCAGTCAGCGTTTAGGCATAAAGAAATTCACGAATACTATTGATTTCATTTGTAACTTATAAGTTTTGCTCGCCTCCCGTTATCAGCGGAACGAACCCATTACGAACTTCATTTAACTGGCAACGATTTAGTTAATACAAATGCTTATACTAAAAAATAATGAACCAAGCGAATGGTAAAAACTACTCTGTTCAACCTAGTTATTTCCCGCAATGGTAAGCAAAATTTGATTGACCTGATTCAAAATTCGGTAGGTAGCTACTTAAATCACTATCATATAGAATCATAGAGCAACATGGCAGAGGCGAAGTATAGACTACAAATTGATTAAAAAAAATGCACAAACAGTGCCTGTCATAAATATAAAAAAAAATGGAACGTTTTTAGCATCATTAATTTTTCGATCCAGTTTGGATAAGTTATGTTTCTAAAGAAGTATCTAATTGACCTTCAATAATTCGTATCATTTATATGAATAATATTATAAAAACATTTATTTTTTTGTATTACTAGTCAAAGGACATTGCTCGTTCCCCATACATTGAATGCCCTAGAACGCCCAGCAATGAGAAAATGCTAGTTGTGTTCGGAATCATTCATAAACTCTAATTAGGCATTTGTTGAGATACGGACAACTTGAGGAACCGTGGCCTACTACATAATGTATTTGATTTTAAGGTTATAATTATTATACTTAATCGTAAAAGATGTACACTTTATATATTCTGAATAGATTTAGTGTTTACCTATATGTAAGCACTTAAATAATATGCATTAAATGAACATAAAATGCAATTAATAATAAAAATAATAAATGCTTATATTCATATTGATTAATGAGTGTTGTCAGTTGGCACCTACGATACCTATACCTCACCTGTAGTAATAATAGATTTCTTTTCAAATGAAATGTTCAGTCTTTCCATTTACCTGTTTCTATATTTTACTATCGGTAATTAGGTATGTACCTGGTTATCATTATGATTTTCATAAAAATAAACAGATATTACATGGGGTGGGAGTATAAACTATCTTTACATAATTTCAGAAATAATCTTTTTATAAATATAATACTAGTAATAAGTATTATTAACTAAGTTATCTCTATTTTTCTTTTGATAAATACCTATGGTCGCCTCTAATGCATTTATTGAGGTAAACAATCTTGGCACAACTTTTTAACAGAATCACCCATTTAATAATAAAATATTAACGAAGCCAATAAACTATTAAAATAAATCGTTATTATAGACTGAATCCTTTTGAATCCAGTTATCAGTTGATTTTTAATGCTGTTTTTTTCAATAAAAAGGAGTGCCAAGTTGGATGAATAGACTGTAGTATCTAGTAACAGAACTTTATTTTTTTATTTTTTTAAACAGATTGCCTGTTTACTATGATTAATTGCTAATAAGTTAAAAAAATAATAGAAAGATAATTGTGAAGGGCATTCTTTTGGGCATGCTAGGGCCGATTTCGTCGATGTCCTTTATTAAAAATATCTGGGTGTATATACTATAAATAGTGCTGGTATCGTATTTACGAGATTAATGTGAACTTAAATGTGCCGTCGAAAGAGTAGTATTTATATTATATTAATAAAAATATAATTTTAACGCATGTAGGAATTAACAACTGTTATTTACATTTAATGCTCTTTTAAGTCTCACGTTATTCTTTTAAATGGTATCACAAGGAAAGTGATAGCATGACTTTAATCAAACTGTAAACTTGTTTGCCGTGAATGAATGCGGCTGGTAGACCTAAAAATTAGCTAAAGTTCAAATTAAATTGACTACCCACTGTTAAAGATAGGATGTGATTGTATCTGTATAACAAGGATAACAAGACAACACTCGTACGCACTAAAATGCTGTCTACAATTCTTAGACAAGTTACGCCTAAACTTTAAATGTCATGTCGGCTAATAATAAGTAACTATGTAATTTGTATTCATTCAGTGTCGTCAATATTGAGTGCGTTCTTCCTGAAGTAGGTAATTTATATGTAAATTGTTATTTTGTAAGATATGCATTTTTATACATTTGCCAGAATATAATATTCTTATATAAAATTTATTTTCGTTTTATTTCATATGATATGAATAGATAAAACAGTAGAACTTGTATCATCATCAGCCTATTATTCCCTCGCTGCTGGGGCTCAGGCAAAGAACATAGAAGGGCTCAGGCCTTCCCTTTGGGAGGAGGGAGATTGGGCCACCTTTCGTGACTCAGGCCCAATTTGAAGCTGCGGATTGGACAGTGCCAACGACTGCAAATGCACCAAAGACCAACGGCTTAACGTCCCTTCCTAATCACGGAGGATAGCGAGATAATAAGTTTTTTGTAACCCATCTAATGATCGTTACTGTATAAGACGTTTTATTGTAAGTTACACCTAAAAATAAAATAGCTAGGTGTCTTTTAATGCGTATTTATTTTCTTCATTCTATTGATGTATGCACCTATGATGCTCTGGCACCTCGGAAGAGATATAGCCAAGAGCTGTGAATATAAAAAGACTATAATTAATGACCGGATTTCCTCTTCATCCAAACAAGTTTTATGTAACACTAAAGTAATCCGTGGCTCAATTGCGATTGCATATCTCAATTTTTACTTTGTTTACAAAATGAAAATTAGGTATGTTGGTTGGAATTTGATCTTTAATACAAGTAAGCTTAGGTCCTACTTTTGCTTAAACGTTTCCGAAATGTCTGAGGTCGTATAGTGTCGTCGGAGCTGACGACCGGCAAAAGTGAAAGGAGATGACCGAAGTTGTACAATACACAAGCGCAGTTTGTCGATGTCCAATATGGGCACATATGTCGTGAAATAATACAAAATAAACGTCGCTAGCGCAACGAATCGAGCTGCACTTTGGTTCTGTAGAGCACTATACCAAGGTTGCATCATGTTGCTATGAGAGACAGATTACTCTATTCTTCAACGCAGCCGCATATTTGGTTATCATTCTAATCCCTTTATTTCCACTAGTTTTGTTCGACAGAATTAATGTGATTTTTTCCCCACTAATTTGTTAATAAGACAAATAAGTAACTGGGTATTTCATGTATCAGGGGCTAAGAATTCCCATTACTTCAGTGGAGTTTTAATCAAAATCTTTTTCACGTTTTACTTGACAACACTATCAATATAGTCAAGTACGAGGCTATAAGTACTAGTTCTTTTCTGTTTTATTAATAAGCAACTTCAATTTTTACCCGGCTGCGCAATGCAAGAGCGCGAAGCGCGACGCGCAGACAGGGTTATGTGTTTAACAGTCTATATATGTATGTTTGTTCCTTTGTGGCACACTAGAGACCAAACGCCTGAACCGATTTTGATGATTCATACATCAATCGATTCGTCTCAATCATGGGAGTGCTACTAAAGATATGATAGTAATCAAAATTCAATATGGCCAAAATTAGGCGCCATATTGTGACGAAGTAAAAAAAATAAGTTGACAAAATATGTCGAGTGGGGTATCACTGTCTAGATAATCAAAAATCATATTTAGGTTCCTAACACCATTTTTCATTTAATATGATTGTTTAGGATCTACAACGCTTTAAAGTTGTATATTAACCACTTGCGCTTTTAATTTCAATCTTACATTTGTATGGATCTTTGTTACTCTTTCACCTAAAAAATACTGAATGGATTTTAATGAAACTTAACAGTAATATAGCTCATATATGATAATTACATATATATAATAATTTATGTAGTCATTGAGTGAATTGGCAAATATATAACAATAAGTGTCACATAAGACGGAAAAAATCTCCCATCTGCCAGCCATTTTGGCCTGCACTGCAAAGACAATAAAAGTTATATGAATGTAATGTAGATTGAAAATGTATCTCTTAAATAGTTCTAAAAAAAAGTCCGTGACACCATATATCTATTTTTAATGTGTAAGTCATTACCGCTTAAATAGTGAATCAAAACTAAAATATTATTTGAGATCTATTTCCAAAATGCACATTTTGTCTTTTGATATTTAAAGACGATAACCTTTGCTTTTTACACTATGTCATTTCGACAAATATTTAAAAAGTTACAATGATGACAAAGTGATAGCGCGATGTACTATGTAAAAGAAAAAAATGGGTTATTCGCTATATCTGATCCTATACGAAGCACTAACAATAATACTGTGATACAGTTCCTTCTTATTATCATAAATATATTATCATAACAGGTATTTATAATTATTGAATTTTAATGAAAAACTCTGAATTTTACTGTTTTTCATTTTTTTAACGATATTACTTAATGTTACAAAAAAGGTTTACTATAATGACAAATAACCCATTTCTCGCTCGTAAATACATACTTATTGGAATCCCTATATTATTAATCAGCTCGCGATAATATTGGTTTTGTAATAATTCTACAAAATTCAAAGTAAATAATGTAGATTTTTATAGGTAAATCACCCCTTTCATCACCCTACGCCTATAAGTATTGCGATGTTGTAGCTAAGAACCAAGTTCCCATCTACTTCTATATGGGAATTCATTATATTCGATTTAGCTATTAGGGCACGGAAGCGCAACAAACAAACTCACTTTCACATCTATAATATTATATTATACTTACTAGTGATCCACCCGGGCATTGTACGGGCGAAATTTATTTATCGGGATGAAATATAGCCTATGTTACTCGGACAAAATGTATTTAAATAAAGAAAAATGTAATAATAAATAATGTAGCTACCTTATGATGAATTAATATTTGAAACCGGTTCAGTAGTTTGACAGATTATTTGTTACAAACATACAAATCTTGCCTCTTTATAATATTAGTATATATAGTTAGGATATGATAAGTATTTAATTGATGAAAAAGATTTAAGAACAAAGTAAGTAATAGGTTTATTTGATTATATTTGTAAAAGTTACTTAGCATTTGTGCTTAACAATGATACGTTATTCGGTATCTTTAAAAGAAAACTACAAAGAGAACTATAAATTGATGATAAATGAGATTGCTATGGTGCTCTACCTAACGTCATGAAAATTTTATTATGCGCCTTTAGTTTAATCAAATATT